GAGAGAGAGTTTGGGAGTGAGAGAGTGCGAGAGAGTGTGGGAGTGAGAGAAAGTGAGAGCGAGTGTGGAAGTGAGAATATGAAAGTGAGTGTGGGAGTGAGAGAGTGAGTGTGGGAGTGAGAGTGAGTGTGGGAGTGAGAGAGAGTGAGAATGTGAGAGTGAGTGTGGGAGTGAGAGAGTGTGTGAGACTGAGAGTGAGAGAGAGAGTGAGAGTGGGAGTGAGAGAGAGTGTGAGCGTGAGTGTGGGAGTGAGAGTGAGTGTGGGAGTGAGAGAGAGTGTGGGAGTGAGAGAGAGTGTGAGAGTGAGTGTGGGAGTGAGAGAGTGTGTGAGACTGAGAGTGAGAGAGAGAGTGAGAGTGAGTGTGGGAGTGAGAGAGAGTGTGAGAGTGAGTGTGGGAGTGAGAGTGAGTGTGGGAGTGAGAGAGAGTGTGGGAGTGAGAGAGTGTGAGAGTGAGTGTGGGAGTGAGTGTGGGAGTGAGAGAGAGTGTGGGAGTGAGAGAGAGTGTGAGAGTGAGAGAGAGTGTGGGAGAGAGTTTGGGAGTGAGAGAGAGTGTGAGAGTGAGTGTGGGAGTGAGAGTGAGTGTGGGAGTGAGAGAGACTGTTGGGGTGAGAGAGAGTGAGAGTACGAGTGAGAGAGAGTGTGTGTGTGTAAGAGAGTGTGAGAGTGAGAAAGTGTGTGAGAGTATTAGAGAGTGTGGGAGAGTGTGAGAGTGAGAGAATGTGAGAGTGAGTGTGGGAGTGAGAGAGAGAGTGGGAGTGAGAGAGAGTGTGAGAGAGTGTGAGAGTATTAGAGAGTGAGTGTGGGAGTGAGATAAAGTGAGAACGGGTGTGGGAGTGAGAGAGAGTGTGTGAGTGAGTGTGGGAGTGAGAGTGAGTGTGATAGTGAGTGTGGGAGTGAGAGTGAGTGTGGGAGTGAGAGAGAGTGTGAGAGTGAGAGAGAGTGTGGGAGTGAGAGAAAGTGAGAGTGAGTGTGGGAGTGAGAGAGTGTGAGAGTGAGTGTGGGAGTGAGAGAGTGTGAGAGAGGGTGTGGGAGTGGGTTTGGGAGTGAGAGAGAGTGTGAGAGTGAGTGTGGGAGTGAGAGTGAGTGTGGGAGTGAGAGAGAGTGTGAGAGTGAGAGAGAGTGTGAGAGTGAGTGTGGGAGTGAGAGTGAGTGTGGGAGTGAGAGAGAGTGTGGGAGTGAGAGAGAGTGTGAGAGTGAGTGTGGGAGTGAGTGTGGGAGTGAGAGAGAGTGTGAGAGTGAGAGAGAGTGTGAGAGAGAGTTTGGGAGTGAGAGAGAGTGTGAGGGAGTGAGTGTGGGAGTGAGAGTGAGTGTGGGAGTGAGAGAGAGTGTGGGAGTGAGAGAGAGTGTGGGAGTGAGTGTGGGAGTGAGAGTGAGTGTGGGAGTGAGAGTGAGTGTGGGAGTGAGAGAGAGTGTGGGAGTGAGAGAGAGTGTGAGAGTGAGTGTGGGAGTGAGAGAGAGTGTGAGAGTGAGAGAGAGTGTGAGAGAGTTTGGGAGTGAGAGAGAGTGTGAGGGAGTGAGTGTGGGAGTGAGAGTGAGTGTGGGAGTGAGAGAGAGTGTGGGAGTGAGAGAGAGTGTGGGAGTGAGTGTGGGAGAGTGAGTGTGGGAGTGAGAGAGTGTGAGGGAGTGAGAGAGAGTGTGAAAGTGAGAGTGAGTGTGGGAGTGAGAGCGGGTGTGAGAGAGAGTTTGGGAGTGAGAGAGTGCGAGAGAGTGTGGGAGTGAGAGAAAGTGAGAGCGAGTGTGGAAGTGAGAATATGAAAGTGAGTGTGGGAGTGAGAGAGTGAGTGTGGGAGTGAGAGTGAGTGTGGGAGTGAGAGAGAGTGAGAATGTGAGAGTGAGTGTGGGAGTGAGAGAGTGTGTGAGACTGAGAGTGAGAGAGAGAGTGAGAGTGAGTGTGGGAGTGAGAGAGAGTGTGAGAGTGAGTGTGGGAGTGAGAGTGAGTGTGGGAGTGAGAGAGAGTGTGGGAGTGAGAGAGAGTGTGGGAGTGAGAGAGAGTGTGAGAGTGAGTGTGGGAGTGAGAGAGTGTGTGAGACTGAGAGTGAGAGAGAGAGTGAGAGTGAGTGTGGGAGTGAGAGAGAGTGTGAGAGTGAGTGTGGGAGTGAGAGTGAGTGTGGGAGTGAGAGAGAGTGTGGGAGTGAGAGAGAGTGTGAGAGTGAGTGTGGGAGTGAGTGTGGGAGTGAGAGAGAGTGTGAGAGTGAGAGAGAGTGTGGGAGAGAGTTTGGGAGTGAGAGAGAGTGTGAGAGTGAGTGTGGGAGTGAGAGTGAGTGTGGGAGTGAGAGAGACTGTTGGGGTGAGAGAGAGTGAGAGTACGAGTGAGAGAGAGTGTGTGTGTGTAAGAGAGTGTGAGAGTGAGAAAGTGTGTGAGAGTATTAGAGAGTGTGGGAGAGTGTGAGAGTGAGAGAATGTGAGAGTGAGTGTGGGAGTGAGAGAGAGAGTGGGAGTGAGAGAGAGTGTGAGAGAGTGTGAGAGTATTAGAGAGTGAGTGTGGGAGTGAGATAAAGTGAGAACGGGTGTGGGAGTGAGAGAGAGTGTGTGAGTGAGTGTGGGAGTGAGAGAGAGTGTGAGAGTGAGAGTGAGTGTGGGAGTGAGAGAGAGTGTGATAGTGAGTGTGGGAGTGAGAGTGAGTGTGGGAGTGAGAGAGAGTGTGAGAGTGAGAGAGAGTGTGGGAGAGAGTTTGGGAGTGAGAGAGTGCGAGAGAGTGTGGGAGTGAGAGAAAGTGAGAGTGAGTGTGGGAGTGAGAGAGTGTGAGAGTGAGTGTGGGAGTGAGAGAGTGTGAGAGAGGGTGTGGGAGTGGGTTTGGGAGTGAGAGAGAGTGTGAGAGTGAGTGTGGGAGTGAGAGTGAGTGTGGGAGTGAGAGAGAGTGTGAGAGTGAGAGAGAGTGTGAGAGTGAGTGTGGGAGTGAGAGTGAGTGTGGGAGTGAGAGAGAGTGTGGGAGTGAGAGAGAGAGTGTGAGAGTGAGTGTGGGAGTGAGTGTGGGAGAGAGAGAGTGTGAGAGTGAGAGAGAGTGTGAGAGAGAGTTGGGAGTGAGAGAGAGTGTGAGGGAGTGAGTGTGGGAGTGAGAGTGAGTGTGGGAGTGAGAGAGAGTGTGGGAGTGAGAGAGAGTGTGGGAGTGATGTGTGGGAGTGAGAGTGAGTGTGGGAGTGAGAGTGAGTGTGGGAGTGAGAGAGAGTGTGGGAGTGAGAGAGAGTGTGAGAGTGAGTGTGGGAGTGAGAGAGAGTGTGAGAGTGAGAGAGAGTGTGCGAGAGAGTTTGGGAGTGAGAGAGAGTGTGGGAGAGAGTTTGGGAGTGAGAGAGTGCGAGAGAGTGTGGGAGTGAGAGAAAGTGAGAGTGAGTGTGGGAGTGAGAGAGTGTGAGAGTGAGTGTGGGGAGTGAGAGAGTGTGGGGAGTGAGAGAGAGTGTGAAAGTGAGAGTGAGTGTGGGAGTGAGAGCGGGTGTGAGAGAGAGTTTGGGAGTGAGAGAGTGCGAGAGAGTGTGGGAGGAGTGAGAGAAAGTGAGAGCGAGTGTGGAAGTGAGAATATGAAAGTGAGTGTGGGAGTGAGAGAGTGAGTGTGGGAGTGAGAGTGAGTGTGGGAGTGAGAGAGAGTGTGGGAGTGAGAGAGAGTGTGGGAGTGAGAGAGTGTGTGAGACTGAGAGTGAGAGAGAGAGTGAGAGAGTGAGAGTGAGTGTGGGAGTGAGAGAGTGTGTGTGTGAGGGAGTGAGAGAGAGAGTGAGAATGTGAGAGTGAGTGTGATAGAGAGTGTGAGAGTGAGTGTGGGAGTGAGAGAGTGTGTGAGAGTGAGTGTGGGAGTGATAGAGAGTGTGAGTGAGACAGTGAGAGAGAGTGTGTTAGAGAGACACAACACCATTGCTGGTATTGTCTGTTACCATTGCTGGTATTGTCTCTAACCATTGCTGGTATTGTCTCCAACCATTGCTGGTATTGTCTCTTACCATTGCTTGTATTGTCTCTTACCATTGTTAGTCCTGTATTACTGTTGTCATATGTAACTCTGATGCGTTACTATGGTAACTCCACAATGTGAATACTCAAACCTTTCTGTGTTAATATAGTGCAGAAGTCGAAAGTTGTTGATAGCCCTGTCTCGCAAAGAAGCAAATTTTTGTTGTATACATATTATGGGGGTAGGATTAAATAAGTTATCTTCTTCCTACTCCCTTTCAGGCAAATATTTTGGTTTATTTTTTTATTTTATTTTCATGCATGTTAGCAATGCTTTACTTATTTTTATTTTTTGTTGGAAACTATGATGAACAAGAGGTGACTGCTGCCTCATGTGAAATGCCTGAAATGAATAAATAAACAAACAAACACAGTGAGAGTGTGGGAGTGAGAGAGAGTGTGTTAGAGAGACAGAGTGAGAGTGTGGAAGTGAGAGAGTGAGAGAGTGTGTGAGAGTGAGAGAGAGTGTGTGTGAGTGAGAGAGTGTGTGAGAGTGAGAGAGAGTGTGTGTGAGTGAGAGAGAGTGTGTGTGAGTGAGAGAGAGTGTGTGTGAGTGAGAGCTGTCTTGGTGGGCTCTGCTGGGTGTCACTGTGCCCAGTCCTTGTCTGCACATTTGAGTTTGTCTTTTGGTTTATGCGCCACACTCACCACACTCCTGATAACTACACGCTCACATCCCATACCTTTGTTTTTGATAAATGTAATACTTGCTTTGTTGTAATTAAATATACCTTGTGCCCTTTTATCCCTGTTTGTGCCAAAAATAACGTATCAAACTGTTTCAGGAGTTATTTTAAAAAAAAATCCCATTCTTGGCTCAGAACCACAAATAGTGTGTGTGTGTGTGTGTGTGAGATCAGCAATGAGAGTGAAGCGTTTGTGTGTAGTGAATCTGATCTCTGCAAACTGTCGTCTCTACATTCATGATCGATCAGCAGATCACGATACATACTACAGCCTTCATCCTGTGGAATCTGACCTCCATATTCTGTGGACCTCTGTTATATCTGTATTACTGATATATAAATGGTTTTCCAAAAGATAAAACAAACGCATCACTTACTCCAGCCTTTCCAAGGCGCTTGTTGGATTCCCGAGTCCAGATGAAAGGAGCACCCCTCCGTCGTCCGAGAGTTTGTTTCTGCTCAGATTGATCTCCTTCAGCTCGGATGTCTGCCAGAACATTTGTTTGTCCTCACTGAACATGGTTGTGATGGAGGACAGGACTTTGGAGAGGTAAAAACAGCTCAGTTTGGTGAGTCCACACCTGGAAAGACTGACATCAAGAGGAGTTAAAGAGGAGCCTTATTGTGAAGACTGGTCTTATCAACAACATATAAAACTTACTTGAGCTTTTGCAGTCTGGACCCGGCAAACAGGCCTCCGCAGATGAACTGCACTCCTTCGTCTTTTAAGTTGTTGGAACTTAAATTCAATGAAACCAGATTGCTCTCATCATCTTGCAGCGCTGCCCCCAACACTGCACAGGAATCAGCAGAGAGGCCACAGCAGTAGAGGCTGTGAACAAACACATTAGATAGATAGATACGTTATTGATCCCCGTCTGAGAAATTCAGGTGTCCAGTAGCAGCAAAAATAAACAATAAAAATGATCATTCAAAAAAGCTAACAATAGTAATAATCAGCAACAGTGGTGGAGTAGCCTCTGGGTGGAGCAGGACAGGTCAAAAGATGGAGTAGCCGTTTGGTTCGGACCATTTTCTCTGCTCTAGTCCAAAGAGAAATGCTGAATGCTTCATTAGCCTTTTTCAAAAAGTTAGCGTTCCTCCTTTGGATTATCTTCTGATCCACTTGGTTCGGACCATGAATACTGTCTGCTCTGGTCTGGACCAGTGCAAAACCATGAACACTGTACTGCAGCAATATCTCAGGTAGAAAAAAGCAAGAAAAATAAAACGTATAAAGAAAAAAACTGTTTCAGAGCTACTTAGAACCTGCTGCCGTTTTCCAGCGCATTAAACACATAAACGTCACCAGATCATGTATAGATGGTAACTCTGTAAACTTACTACAGTGTATTTAGACTTGATATGTCAAACTTTGTGAAAAGCTCTTGGGCCCCCTTGTTTCCGATCTTGTTCATGCTCAGGTCCAGCCACTTGAGGACACCGGGGTTTATCTGGAGCGCCGAGCCCAGATGGTAGACACCCTTCCTTTTAATGTTGCATTGAGAAAGTCTAGAAACAAAAACACAATATTCACCAACAATTATCAGATAAAGTGCAGTCCACCAGCCATGGATAGCACGAGATGGAGAACCGTGACAGTATGGCTGCCCCTGCGACGCGGCAACAGATTAAAGGGGACATATCATGAAAAATCCACTTTTTGTGCCTTAAATGCCTTATGTTGAGTAGTTGGAGCCTCTAGAAGTGCAAAAAAGTTGAAATCAGTCTCTTCATGGGTTACAGAGAACACTTCATATGCTGTTTAGGTAAGATTTTTCAACCCGTTCTGATTTTGCCATTCTCTATTACGTGTTTAGAATTATTACGTCACAGTATTTGCAGCGGGACTGCCATATAAGGGCATGGGCGTCTAACAAAACACTTCGACCCAGCCCTCCTCTACTGTGCATCACTTAATTTGTAGTCCAAGCTCAAGGATGCCAGCAAACAGGGCTGGACTGGCCATCGGGCGTACCGGGCAATGCCCATATTTGGGCCGGTCTCTCTGCCACATACAAAACACATGTTTATGAGAAGTGTAAATCCGTTGAGAATTGTTGGAGCGGGGCGCGCGTATCCGCGGGGCACCTGCTGTATGTACTCGAACGGGATTCCGCCACCTCAGTGGCCGCAGTGTTCCGGGGCATCTGCGGCCGCTTTGTAATGAGCAGCTTCCGCGTCCAGCGGCTGCGAGAGGCTGTGAGCCGCTCCACCGTGTTGTGGCTGAGCGCGCAGCTTCAACGTGGCCATGTACCCAACCCTATAAACGCGCAGAGGACCATGCGTGTCTTTGAGTTCTCTGTGCACCCAATAAATACACTGCTGCAGGAAACAGTCCGCGTCTCTCCTCTCCTCTCGAAGCGCGATTAAACGCCCTAAATAAAGCTCTGATACCTACATTTTGCATTGCATTAAAAGTTCATGTTTGAGCCCAAAAGTAATATGTTGTGAACAAATTAAACAGATTTAGAGCCAGCAAATAGCTGACAATATGCATTTCAGTCTTTTTTGACCACTTCTCATCCCTGTATCAAACAATATTGTTGTCTGTGTCCACCTCCCTCACTCTGAGACATGTTTATTACTCTCTTGTAATGTAGACTATTGCATTTTATTTTATTGTTGAAACTGCACATATCCTGATCCTACAGTAGTTGCTTCCACTACTGTATAAACTAGGAGTCGGCAACCTGCGGCTCTGGAGGTGCATGCGTCTTTTTCCTTCTGTAGAAGGAAAAACGTTCTTAACGTTTTTAAATGCTGTAAAATTGTGCATAAGTAATATTCAATTTAAAAATTTCTGTCAACGTGTCTGTCAAACCGGCGTGTGAGCATCATAGACTGTGCGCAGTGATCCCAAAGCTAAAAAGAGAAGAGTCGATAATAAGACTTGACTAAGAATCAAAATTAACATTTGCTTTCAGTCAATGAGGAAGGACTGCTTCATGTTTGCGATGTATTGACTAGTTTCTATGAGATAATTGTATCTGTGCTTAGAAACTACAAAAATGGCCGCTCGGGGTGGAGTTGAACCTGTGTCACCTGGATGGGGGGGTGGTCAAAAGCGCCTCATTTGCATTTAAAGAGACAGCACCAAAACAGGTTGCTCTCAGATGCACCTCAGAACAGGTGTAGAAGAAAGGCCCGTGGAGCTACAAATAATGAGACTCAGACCCAGGCATTGCAGTTACGCTTTATATAGGCCACAAATTAATGATTTAGATGTAAAAATCTATTATTTGAAAACACGATATGTCCACTTTAAGAGGAAGAAAATGGATGAATGGATGGACAATATTCATATTGTAAAAGTGTAGGAAAAATGTATGGTTTATATGTATGTGGGCGACAGTGGCTCAGTTGGTAGAGGGTTGGCCTTTGGGCCTGAAGAACCCCACTTTGCCTGAAGCCCCCGCTGAAAGATCTCAGCTCCTGCAGACTCACCACCTGCAGGAGGATCAGTGAGGGGCTGGTGCTCTGTGTACTGGGTGCAGCTCTGACTGCCACCCCCCGACCCAGAAATGGGTTAAAGGGGACATATCATGAAAAATCCACTTTTTGTGCCTTAAATGCCTTATGTTGTGTAGTTGGAGCCTCTAGAAGTGCAAAAAAGTTGAAATCAGTCTCTTCCTGGGTTGCAGAGAACACTTCATATTCTGTTTAGGTAAGATTTTTCAACCCGTTCTGATTTTGCCATTCTCTATCACGTGTTTAGAATTATTACGTCACAGTATTTGCAGCGGGACTGCTATATAAGGGCATGGGCGTCTAACAAAACACTTCGGCCCAGCCCTCCTCTACTGTGCATCACTTAATTTGTAGTCCAAGCTCAAGGATGCCAGCGAACAGGGCTGGACTGGCCATCGGGCGTACCGGGCAATGCCCAAAGGGCGATGCCCATATTTGGGCCGGTCTGTCTGCCTCATATAAAACACATGTTTATGAGAAGTGTAAATCCGTTGAGAATTGTTCGAGCGGGGCGCGAATATCCGCGGGGCACCTGCTGTATGTACTCGAACGGGATTCCGCCACCTCAGCGGCCGCAGTGTTCCGGGGCATCTCCCCTCCTCTCTCGAAGCGCGATTAAACGCCCTTAATAAAGCTCTGATACCTATATTTTGCATTGCATTAAAAGTTCATGTTTGAGCCCAAAAGTAATATGTTGTGAACAAATTAAACAGATTTAGAGCCAGCAAATGGCTGACAATATGCATTTCAGTCTTTTTTGACCACTTCTCATCCCTGTAACAAACAATATTGTTGTCTGTGTCCACCTCCCTCACTCTGAGACATGTTTATTACTCTCTTGTAATGTAGACTATTGCATTTTATTTTATTGTTGAAACTGCACATATCCTGATCCTCTACAGTAGTTGCTTCCACTACTGTATAAACTAGGAGTCGGCAACCTGCGGCTCCGGAGACGCATGCGTCTCTTTCCTTCTGTAGAAGGAAAAACGTTCTTAACGTTTTTAAATGCTGTAAAATTATGCATAAGTAATATTCAATTTAAACATTTCTGTCAACGTAGTGCGTCATATCCTGCGACGTAGGCCCGTGCCAGGCGGCCGCTGTTGTAAACAAACCGGAGTGTGAGCATCATAGACTGTGCGCATGGATCCCAAAGCTAAAAAGAGAAGAGTCGACAATAAGACTGGACTAAGAATGAAAATTAACATTTGCTTTCAGTCAATGAGGAAGGACTGCTTCATGTTTGCGATGTAATGAGAAGTTTCTATGAGATAATTGTATCTGTGCTTAGAAACTACAAAAATGGCCGCTCGGGGTGGAGTTGAACCTGTGTCACCTGGATGGGGGTGTGGTCAATAGCACCTCATTTGCATTTAAAGAGACAGCACCAAAACAGGTTGCTCTCAGATGCACCTCAGAACAGGTGTAGAAGAAAGGCCCGTAGAGCTACAAATAATGAGACTCAGACCCAGGCATTGCAGTTTCGCTTTATATTAGGCCACAAATTAATGATTTAGATGTAAAAATCAATTATTTGAAAACACGATATGTCCACTTTAAGGAGAAGAAAATGGATGAATGGATGGTATAGTTTAGTCAATAGCAACTTAAAAATATAATATAAAAATTTCTGTTCATGATTGTTACATAAAGATTAAGAGGTTACGAGATTAACATCCTTTGTTCGTCCCACAGCGGGGAAATGTCAATGTTTTGTCCATAGATTGTAAATATTAACGGGCGTAGTCACGCCTATCTCCACCGTTCTAACTAATGGGCCAAAAAATGGGCTCTCATGGAGTGATTCAAAATGGACGCAAGGGCTGGAATATTTAAACGAGTGACTTCCAAAATTCACAGCAGCTAAACTAGACTGGTCCAAAAAAATCCACCCCCCTCAGCATTGACACACATGTGGAACGGAGCTTTGGACCAAGACCCAACTTTTGGTCCATCCTGTAAAGACGTTTCCAAGAGGTCTGCCAATGCTATATGTTAGCATTGGCTAAGTCTTATTCCGGGTCCACCCCCATCGGCCCGGGGTGGTATTGCAAGCATGTCAGCGCACGTCATTTTGGCCACTTTTGAGCCGAGACCCGCCCCCACTGGTTGCATCACAAGTTATAGCACAGTAGGAAAGAGTAGGACACAGAACAAGATGAATGAACAATAGCTATTCTAATTAAAATTAAACAAAATCTCTAACTCTAGCATCACATTTTTGACTTGAAAATAGTAATATAAGTAACATATATATATGCGATCAAATACACTTACTTAAGGGTTTCTAGTTGGCACATGAGAGACTCCAAACCAGAGGCAAGATGCTTCATCCCCTCATCTCCGATACTGTTATAGCTGAGATCCAGCTCCTTCAGAGTTATAAACAGTTTTAAGGCTTTTCCCAGGTATTCGCAGGCAGAGGAGGTCAGCTCGCAGGCCGACAGACGGAGGATCATCAGCCTGCAGTCCTGGTGACTCAGCCCCGGGGCCAGGATCTTCATGCCCTGGTCTGCGATACTGTTGAAGCTCAGGTCCATCTCCTTCACGAGGGACTCTTTACAACTCAGAACGAAGGCTAGGACGGGGCAGCAGACACTTGAGAGGTTTGAGAATCGCAGCCTATAACAAACAGAGAATGATTCAATATAGATATTATTAGAGCTCATGTCTGTCAACAACATACATTTAGAGCTTTTTATTTTTCAATACATTATTGCAATGAGAGACGGAAAGATGCCCATTTGTCTAATGTGTGCCTAAAAAGCCAATCACTGCTTTATTTGCACATTTCAGTAAATATTGAGCTTTTTTGGATGCGTTCTTTCAGTGTTACTTGAATTTGATGTTTAATGTTTATATATGTTACGCAAAGACGTGTGAAGCACTTTACAAATAAAAAGCTTCTATTTAGATCTACACTATCTCTATAGATGCACTGGCAAAAACATTACAGATCATTTTGTGTAAAAACTATTTATTTTAAAGATATTGTGACAATGGCGGCACGGTGGCTGAGTGGATAGCACTCTCGCCTCTCAGCAAGAAGGTCCTGGGTTCGAATCCCGGTCGGACCAAGGCCTTTCTGAGTGGAGTTTGCATGTTCTCCCCGTGTCTGCGTAGGTTTCCTCCGGGTACTCCGGTTTCCCCTACCACTAAAAATATGTCCAATAGTTCTAGCATGCGCCTCCTGTACTGGCCCCGCTCCCATCTCTGTGTGGAGTGAGAGACAAATGCCCCAAATTAACAATTGTAAACCGCTTTGAGACTCAGATCTGCAGTGAAAAGGCGGTATATAAATAAATACTTACTTACAATATCGGGAGTTGGGAAAAAAAATGGAGATATTTATTTTTGTCCATATCGCCCACCCCTAACCGTCACTCACCGTATTTTTCATACTATTAATTGCAGATAAAAATCCTTTCATTTTAACAGTGAGCCTTATAATCTGGTAAAGCCTGTGTATCAATTTCTTGCTGTCTTCCAAGGCTGAGCAATAGGCTGCCTCAGGAGAATACAATACATGTTTATGGAATGTCTCCCATCCCAGCACTAACCAGGACCTGTTCTGCTTAGATTCAGTGCTCTGACAGGCTCTGGCCTTCACATGCAGGTATGGCTATTACTTACATTTATACAGGATGGCACAGATACTTACACAATGGTTCCTGACTTCAGAAGCAGATGGACACACTTGGGGAGTGTCTTATCGTTTATTATCAACCCCTTTTGAAAGTTGAAACGAAGCCCCTCCAAAGTTGCTGTCATCCTGCAGACGCCCAACAATTGATCGCGCCTGAGGCCTGAGAGAGGTTTGCGTCGTAGGGGGTCGTTAACAGCTTCCACTTCGTCCGACAGAGCCCTACTGTCGAACTCCCTCAGCCAACGATACCGGTTCACTGTTTTGTAGTTGTATTCAAATCCACATAGGATCTGCTTCTTGATGCTGAGAAAAAAGGGATCTGAGGGTTGGAGCATGCCACGCTCTTTGAGGAAGCCGAAGAAAAATTGAAAGAAGAACTCAAACTTTCTGTTTTCATAATAACTTTCTAAGTCTTCAATTACTTCTAGAAAAATGGTGGAATGCTGCTTTGGGGGATGTTTCATGGATGCTTTGGCCAATGTTTCCAAGGCGATGAAGTATTCTACAAGACAAAAATTAGTAAAGCGAAACATGGATTTTCCGAACATGCTCTTCTCCTCTCTGAGCACAAGGGGGTGCTTTTTGGCAACATCAGAGGCTTCGCGAACAGTCAGTTTAGAAATACCATCCGTTAGGCATTCCCCATTAATCCAGATAAAACTATTGTCATTGAAATACAATGCAAAATGGATCAGTTTCTGGATGATATTGGTGTGTGCTTCATGAATCAGAGTGCTGAGAATCTGAGTCAAAGTCATAAAAGAGACTTTAAAATCATTGAGCTTGACATGTTTCTTAAGAACAGTGGCCATGACTGTGCACATGTATGGGATTCTGCACAATTCATAAAGACTCCTTGATATTACGATGTGGTTCAAGATTCTGTAGGCAAGGGTCTCGTTGCCAACAAGCTTCTTTATGTACTGCTTCTTCTGCTCACCGCTGAAGCCAAGCATTTCTGTTTTCTTCAGAATGTAAGCTTCTGGGATGGGGTCCATGGCACTATAACTAGTAGTTACCCAGATGTGTGCATTTGGAAGCAGGAGACCTTTTATTAGATTGACCAGAAGAGAGGCCGTGAAAGTGACTTGGTTGACATCCGTTACTTTCTTATATAACCAGAGCGAGGTCAGAGGTCCCACCACATCCAGGAGCCCATCAAACACAAACCAAATGTTTTTATCCTGCAGACTTTGAAAGCTTAGTTCCTTCAAATCTGGGAAAAACAAGTGTAGAAGTTGAATCAGGCTTAACTGTTTCTTGTCCAGTAGATTTAATTCCAAACATGGAATTGGAAACAATAAATCAATGTGTGTATGTGCTCTGTTCTCTGCCCAGTCCAGAGCAAACATCTGAACAGCTGTAGTTTTCCCAATGCCACATGGTCCAACTGTGAAGATGGTTTTTCGACTTTTCTCATGTTCACAGCTGCATTTGAAAAGATCTTCAAATGGAAAAGGGGGACAACCACCATCTCCCTCCAAGTGTGAGCGATCAATGTACCAAAGAGGTTGTTTTGGGTTAAAAAGCTCTACATTAGGCAAATTGGCCACATTAATTGGAAGAATGGGCTTCAAATGTCGATATTTGTTTTTCAGAGTGGCCTTCAGGTGAGTTTGGAGATCCATCTGTCAACAGACAACATGAAAATGGATAACAACACTTCAAAGACATCACTTGGAGACAGGATTACTCGATTAATCAAAAGCATTACAATCGACATATCACTCAATCACACAATCTAAATGCATGAAGTCAAAACACCACAATTGATGGTTGTGGATGCAAGAAAAAAGTGAATCAAGCAGCTGCACTCGTTCTATTCAATAAAAAGGACCGAAAAGCTCTAAGGATATGTGAACAGCTGCATTGTTCTATTAGAGTAGAGATCTCTCTGTTTCTGCATCTTCTCTGTTAAATGTGTCGTGCATACGCTTTTCTGTTGCAGACACACAACACAAGTTTAACAGCATGACTATAACATGTATTTTTTCCTGCAGCTCCTGAGTGAACGCATTATGGCTCAAACATTAGAAAGTAGGTTGATGCTCGATGATAAAAGCCAGACCCACCTCCGCCTCGGCTGCTGCTGCATCTATGAGCGGCATGATCGGACAGAAGGAGGTACCGAAGACTGTAAATATGTGGTACAAGCTCTGAGCACAACTCTATAGAAGTCTATTGACGCGAGAACCATGAGTCTGAGCAACAATAGCAACAACAAAACTTTGTGTGCTCCAGAAAGAAGTTTAGCAACAGTCACCGCTGCCCCCCACTGGTCAGGCGGGGCATTACAATCAGAATCAGAATAATATAGATCCATGGAATAATTTCATTGCCAAAGTAACAGGAAGTCACAGATTAGAAATATTGTTTGGCTCATGCAAGGATCAATTATAGGGCTCATGGTGCAAATAATTTATGAGCGTAAAAAGGGTTTAGGCCTGCATAAGTCACAATAAGTCACTTGCATTAGGCCTGAAATACCTGCACTACTATTGACATTGTTTCTTGATTGACACTTTTTATTGTGCATAATGTTTCCTGCATTTAACATGTTTGCATATTTCTTTCTTTTTGCACAACCTTGAGTGATTCTATCCATGCCAGATGTAACATGTATATTTCTCCTGTGTGAAATCAATAAAGTCTATCTTATCTTATCTTATCTTAAAAAAAACTTCTACAATATGTGTGGACATTTATCAACACTCATGGACATTGGTCTCTCCCTATGGACCCATACATATGTGTATATTTTGTGTCTTAAACTGTTGATTCTCTGATCTGTGTTGGTGATTTCAATGGTGTTCTGAGGTGACTTCTGTTGTGATTTAGGGCTATACAAGAATAAGTTGTTGAAATTGTTCCTTAACATTTCTACTATACAGAAAAGATAAGATAAGATATAACTTTATTTGTCTCACAGTGGAGAAATGTCATCGTTGCGCACGTTACAGCAGAGAAAGGAAGCAAGAGCACTCAGATTGCACACATCAAACAGAGTCTATTATCTATAATAGACAGTATAATTAAGATAAGTTAAAGAATAAAATAAATTAAACTATATTGCCTGCAAATACCTGGGAAAAGCTATAATTGCACTTGGTTCAGAAGTATTTGTAGATGTGTATATTGTACTTTAGCAGCAGAGAATATGAGAATATAACTGAGCAGAATAAACATCAGAAATAATATAAACAGGTAAAGTGACTGGGGAATGACAGAAATATCAGATGAATATGTAATGATGCAGTAATACTAATAACAGGTAAGTAAATATTTGTGCTTACAGTAAAACTAATCTTTGAAGTGAACCAGTATTGTGACTTAATACCAAATAACAGTGGTGATTTTTTTATCAAGTAATTCAAGTTATATTTCTGTATTAATCCCACTAACAAGTCATATTGTCAGAACCTATGACGTGGTTTAGATCTACCGCCAGACTCTGTACGAATGCATTTATCGTATTGTGGGACGAATAAAGGACCTTCTTGACATGAATCATTAGTGTTCAAATGCAGGTGTAAATCAAAAGGGCCTGTGCCTCAGTGTCGTCCTGGACCCAGACAATAATGACACTCACAAAATGGCCACGTTGGGGTTTAGAGCTGATGTCAATAAAGAAAGGACAGAGTGTTGTGTGTCTTTGGTTTATTGGATTGAAGGAGTTCCAAAACAACATGAACAACAGGAGGTGCATCCGTGTCAAAAGAAACATTTGCACACTTAACCTGAGTCAGTTATGTTCGAGGCCTTCAACAGATTAACACAGATAATCTATTGTTTAATCCAGATCGAAGAACAGTTTGACAAATCCATTATCAATATAAAAATACATCTTGAACATTTAACAATTGTCCAGCAACTGCAATAATATGGATAAGATAACCAAGACAAACCATAATAATTTACAATTGAATACACGGATCTACAACCATTTAGCGTTTGTGGCATTTGTCCAATAACTGGTAGAAGTGTTCAGCAATTGTATTTATTTTCTTATGAAGGCACATTGTTTAAATTAAATAGCTGAAACAATACAATGTACAATGTTGTTCACTTGTCAAACTTATTTGCCAACATATGGGCACGGTATATATACATATGACAATAATTTAAAATATATGAATGGAAAAACCCGTTACCAAAAAGAAATCATGATTATCTTTCTAGTGGTGCCAATGAATCAGTGACTTTAGTAATAATTCTAGCTGTTACTGAGCCACACGATATTCAATCTAGACAATCTCCGTCTCTCGCCTTAGTGTCATAAAACTCAAACTGAAATGTATAGAGACCTTTGAGATAGTAACGGTAAATATATAACAATGTTTAATGCACTGTGTAAGTCCAAAGTAAGACAATAGTCATAGTTTGATATCAACAGAGACTCGTTAAAATAATCATACACAAGGATTGATATTTTTGTCAGAATTGTCTTCAAGCCTCCAAAGTTTCAGACATATTAATAAATAATAGCATTTTATCCCCAACATGTTGATCCTTTTGATGTGCATGTACTTGAGCTGCTGTATTAAATTGTAAATATTTGTAATTCATATTCTAATGTTTTTGTTCTTCTAAAATCTGTAGAACTTTGCGGTTTTCCTTGAAATGTAAATAAATTGTATTACTATTATCTTTATGGAAAATATTACATGTTATTCACATTTCTGTCAATTACTCCAGTTTCCCCTACCACTAAAGACATGCTCACTAGGTTAAATCCTCCAGCTCTGGTCCTGACCAAGCCGAGCATCAACATCTGGAGATGGTTCCCGGGTGCTGTTACTATGGCGACCACTGCTCCTGACGTAAGCCTTGGCGGTATCTTTACATTTAGTTTGGCTGCTATTTTCAAAGGGACTTCAGAGACTTTACTTAATGAATTGGATTAGGCAAAAATACATTATACTTCAGCCTAATCCCTGTGTATATCTATGTCAAAATATGTACTTTAACTGACATAAGCTATATTCTTTTTGTAACCTTGTCCTTTTTTTAATGCCTTTTTAATGTAAAAAAAAAATTAAAACATTGCATGACCGAATAAACAAACTTCAACTTTCATACTCAAACAAACTCACTTCTTGTCATAACTTACAAATGTCCTTTTCTACACTTTGTCTCTGGATTGTCGTTGTCGTTTGGCGCTACCGTTTGGGCGCAGAGGTTGAGGTTGAGCGTCCTCCTGTAGACAAAATGGAAAGTGTGTGTCCGCGGCCGGCTGTGCAGCTCCGACTTGATTTTCTGCGGTTGTGTGTCCGGGGCGAGCTGCTGCCGTCCGTCCTCCGTGACCAGAAACAGGGCAAAGTTCTCTGGGTCCGAGATCTTGAACTTGTAGGCGCAGAGGGAGCACACCTCCTCGGTCGTGTGGTACGGCTGCACCAACAGCGTTTTGGCGGTGCAGCCGGTGTCGACGCCTTGGAACGCCACGCGGAGAAAGTTCTGCAAAAACAAAATACAGATACGTAGGTGTAAATGTTACGAGTATGTGGGAAGATGGGGAAAGAAATAATTTAAGGTTTAGTAGTTTAAGATGACGTATTCTTATTTGTAGAAACACGTTGCCATGGTGAAGCATACAGTGGAGGATAAAAAAAATAGGATGGACTTTTGTTATTTGCCACCATAAAAATAATCACCATGAATAAATTCTTTAAGAATCAAATAATTATTTTCTGGATTTATTTTGAATCTGTCATAGTTGAGGAAATTCCAGGCATCTCTCATCCTTTAAGGTGAGAGAACTGAAAAAACCCACTAGAGACTGGACTTTTTCTAGTATTTGGACTTAAAATTTGACACTTCTTTCTATTATAAAAGTTTTTTTTTTTTTTTTTAAGAAATACTCTGCTGATGCTTTTAAAAAGGGACTGAAGACACTTCTTTTTAGGGCAGCTTTTAGTTAATGTGTTGTTTTTATGTAGTTATTTTCAATTATTTATTTCTATTGTATATACATATCTGCTTTTACCTTGTACAGCACTTTGTGATTTTTATCTGTGAAAGGTGCTCTATAAATAAAATGTACTTACTTACTAAATCTTTTTATTTTTGGTAATCTCCGTTATTGCAAAGAGACCGTCAGACATCATTGGGCTGAAGAGGACGACTTATCTCTGTGTGTGAACTGTGTGAACTCACAGTTTTAGAGTAAACTGAGACAGGGACACACAGAATGTCTTCTCCACTTTGCCTTAACAGTAGTGAAGTGTTCGCTACTGCTCGAGTACATATAGAATTCCAGTCCTGAACATAGAGAATCGAAACCAAAATTAAAATATATATATTCTCAGTTTGCCTTGATGCCAGAGACAGCTGATTCCAAGCAGCCGAGGATAAAACTAAAGTTGTTTTCCTCGTACAGCTCTACTATGGAAAAGGAACCACCTGGTCTTGAGCTAACGAGTCACATGTTGATGGTAATAACCGGCATAAAAAATTAATGTTATGCATCATTATAGAAGAAAAAAAAAACCAATTTAATCTATAGAATGTACTAACTTCCTGGACATGTGTTTGTATTATTTCTTTGATTTCTGCTCTTTATTAGTCACCATTACACTGCAGTCACCATGGCAACAGTACGTTCTGTAGTACGAATTAGTAATGTTGATACTAATGTTTTTTTAGATAATGTGCAATTTGATAGTTCACAGCACAGTGTAGCAGCCCTCTTCATGCAAACACATCACATACTGACAGGACTGGTTCCATGACGCATGCACAGCCACGATCACGATCACATTTGAGAAAAAAACAAAATGGAATCGCTTGCAAACATGTGTCACAAACGTTAAAGCTGAGGTACCTGACTTTCAAACCACTCTCTCTCAAAACCGATTGGTTCTATTACTGTGTTATTTTCATTGTATTATTTCACATTGTATTTTTATTCTATTTATTACATGTATTGCAGTGTAACAGAGAGGACCATCTTTTTAGTAGAATAGTAGAAAATGTATTTGGTTTTTCTATACTATTGTCTGGTAAAGAAGAACCAAATACCCTTTTGTCTGTCTGTCTTTTTCCTGGAGTTTTGCCACAGACAACTTTAACAAGAATGGAAATGATTAACTGGTCCCTCAACGCAATTGATTCTATCTTTTCAACACGTAAGCGTGGGTCTGGAGAGCCCGTGTGCCCGAACGGGACTTCACCAGCGGGGTATACGCTTGACAGCTGGAACAAGTTTCAGCCCCTCTGTCTGTCGACCCTGTCCATTGAAGATTCGGAAGACGTATATATCTTTGGCTTTTTGGTGGTGGGGATCCTCCTGTTTGGGTTTGGAGCGGTTCTCTTCTACCACAAATTCGGAGGCATGGCAGTTCGCAAGATTCACGACCTGCTGGCCAACAAAATTGATGGGATGTACAAGGAGCTTAACCGAGTCGTGGTTGAGAGCGCTGTGGCTGGACAACAAAGAGTGGTGTTAGTGGAACAGTTGATCAAAGATCTCGCAGCTCGTTCACTCGATGGGCATAAACTCTGGAATTGAGATTGAATGACATTGTGTGTCACGCTTGAACTCTCTGACCCGGCTTGGATCTGCCCCTGTGTACGGGGTCTGAGGGCGCCGTAATTCGGTTTAATTGGATTTAATAGAATATCTGCCTGTTTTTGACTGCTAAAATGCATACTATATTGTCCCTCGTTACAGGAAGATGTGTTTTCTCCTTGCTGTGTCTTCCCTCCACTCTTATCTCACATTCCTCGGGCCAAGGCCATAATAATAAATCTGGTCTCTACAACAATTCACACTCTTTCAGTCTTCCAGCTTGGATCCCTCTCCCCCCGCCTCCCTCTGATCTCTCCCTCCCCTCCACTCCTCAATGTGTTTCCGACTCACCCCCTCCCTGACCCCGCCCCCCTCTGACAGCCACATTGGACCGGCAGCCGGAGGTGTTCATCCCGAGAAAAAAATCCGTGGCTTATACAAGGCACAATGTTTTCTATCCAACTGTCTGTTGTAACCTGAATGTTATTGCTCTCTGCTGTTTATTCTACTGTTTGTCGCATGGCGCCGGAAAGATGGCGCCGTGGCAAGAGCTCTGGTGTGTGTCGCCTTCTCTGTCTGGCGCACACCGGGGTAGTCTTGCACAGTTTTTCCAATGTGGTTTTACTGCAAATGGCAAATAAATGAATCTGAATCTGATTAAGATAAAGACAGGATGTTATGGTTGGATTATTTCTATAACATTTTCATTGTACAAGACTCAAACAAACAAAAATAGGCACCCCAGCTTTAATAATACACTATACTTTGAAGACAGAGCATGCAATATCACCACCATCCTCTAGAGGGAGCTTCAAGTCAACTATAAAGTAATGCACATGCTGGGAAAGTGGAGGTTTAGTGACTGGATAATCTCTTTTTTGGTTAATTTCTGTGTCTCAGTTGCCATGCACGTTTCCATTGCCCGACACCAGGGTTTTGGGTGTGATTTTGGCACAACTGTAACTCACTGCCTGGAGGTTCATGGTGGGGTTCAGGTCAGGCGTGATACCTGGAAGTCGTCCACGGTGGGAGCAGCTCTCTGGGTGGTGCGGCGCCGGTGCCACTGGTGCAGAGTGTTTCGGGTCTCGGAGCTGAGCACGCGGGCCGCCTGCTCCTCCTGGAAGTGTTTGATCAGAGACATGGCTCCGTACGCGCTGGTCAGGTAGTAGCCCCCTGGAGAGAACGGACACAGTTATTAGGGGGTAAGTACTCGCCTGGCCTTAGCCATCCGTAAACTCTGGTCAATTATCATTTCCCTACATGTGCGAAAATACATTTGTACCGTGGTGTGGTAAGAGGAGAGTAGGTAAGTACTGCTGTATTTCTGTCACAATACAATTCAATAGATTTTTGTATAGACCTAAATCACAACATTTCTTTGATTTCTGCTCTTCTCAATTGACAATTACGCTGCAGTCACCATGGCAACAGTACGTTCTTTAGTATGAATTAGTAAAGAGTAAAAGTAAGTGAGTCCTTAAATGTCCCGGATCACTATTGTCCTTAGACCATCCTGCATGAGGCTCAAAAAACCCAGTGGGAGAAAAGTGAGAAATCCTGAGACGAGTTATGGACTCAGACTGTAGAACGAGGACCGAGGGCCCGGGGGAGACAGTCAGAATAATACAATACTCCAGCTCAGACCTGGGGCAACCTCATACTGTCCTGTGCACTGTTGCTGTTTTAAATGAATGGGAGAAAATACACATGACATGTTGGTAACGTGATGGGTGCTAGCATGACAAAAACATTAACCTAATTATATTGCACATTTCCTGAATATTTGCACATCCTTAGGTAAGAGGGCGAGTGAGAGCTTCTGTACGTTATAGGTATATTCACGAATCAGGTGCTGTTCCAGGATTTGTATGCAAAAAACCTCAATTTGAAAAGGAAAAAATAAGATCCGAGGCATATCTGACTTTTAGGTAAAAATCTTAACTGGTCGAAACGAGTTGGTATTCCCTCGATAATAAGGATTTTTTAACTTAAAAGTCAGTTGTGCCTCGTGTGTGTGTCTGTGCATAATTAAATTCAAATTTGCACCTTATTGATTAGTAAATTCCTCCATTGTTATTATCTCATCTGAATCTTCATAACGACCAAAGAAAATGAACTGCTCCTAAACTACTTAAACTTGAATTGTGCTTTACATATTGATTTTTGTGTATTAAACAAACACAAGATGGAGCCCTGAAGCCGCTGCTTTGAAAGTGCCGAAAAGAGTTTTACCAATTCTTTTTCACAATGCATGAAATCAAACTGTGTAGAAAAAAAACATTTGTATTTAGTTCAGTCAAAGTTTGATTAGAGTGTCGTGAATAAGTATTAAGCATAATTTAAAGGCAGCACTCTCACAGGCCTCGGCTCGTCGTGTTCAAGTTGACGCCGATTGGAAAATATTGTTGGGGGTGCGGCTTTTCCTCTGAACCTGCTCCAGCTCATTCAGACCTGGCTGTGGTATTTCCTCTTGAGATCATTAAACCATCCATTCATCTACAAAGGGAGGAGTACTTTTCAGAAATTCCAATTGTTCATACATCAAGATCAACAAACAATCTTTGCCAAAAAAATTATAGAATAACTTCCTTTTTCTCGCAGACAAAGACTTTAGCAAATGAGTAAGAGCACTGCAGTCTATTTGATCCACTACAGGAAAAATATTCACTTTTATATCAAGTCTCTTTGCTTTTCCTTTGTTCTTCATTGTGTAATTTCCACTCTGCGGCTCCACGACGGACTTTCACTTTCGCCACAAAGTCCAGTTTAAGACCGGAGACTCACATTTCACTGTTAAGTTTCTCATCTCAGGAGGAAAGAGCCCTCAGTTACAAAAATGGAGGCGTAAAAGGAGGAGTCGTACTCAGTTGAGATGTTTCAAAGACTAGTGTGTGTGTAGAGGGGAATTATTGAAATGACAAGATTCAATGATTATTTAGATTTAGCATTTGCCGTCAATTATGTTTAGTTTTGCCAAGAAATAACAGCTTCACCACAATCAGCTGAGCATACTGTTCACTCATCTGATACTCGTGTGTTGCATGAACCAATACCAATACAGACAGAAGAAAGATAAATGAAATCTGTTGCAAAAAGCTGGTGAAAAACATGTATTTCTGTGGTATTTGTTGCAACTAGCGATGATTAAACTTTGAGAAATAAAAAAGTAGAAAGAATATTTATAGCATTGTAGTATGCTTTTGTGTGACTGTGGATAATTTCTAGAGGGAAAAACCTTTTCACCGAACTGAAGCATGTTTTTAACTAAATATATTAAGTTCAAATAAAGGCTTCTTAAATATTTTATCATCTTAAGAGTTTTTGCTTTGCCTGAATATTATCAATCCAGTGCAAACACAGACAGACACAGACACACGCCAGCAGAGGGCGCTCTCGGGGCCTCCAGCGGCAAGATGAAGCAATCTGAATCCAGCTCAAACACAGGTGACTGCTTTTGTTGGATTAAAACAAAGTATTATTTCTAGTTTTATAATTGTATCAAACTCTCGTTGTTAGAACCATGGCAGTTGTTGTTCTCGTTTACCTTCCCCTTGAAGCAGAGAGGGCTCCAGCAGCTCCATCATGTACTGGATGTCCGAGTCCAGTTGTGGCATGTCGCACTGGGCCAGAACGTAGGTCAGCATGGGCAGGAAGTCGTCGGCTCCGAACATCCTCCCTGCAGGGAAACAGATACGGCAGTGAGTCAGAGTGAGTGATGACCTCAGGCTAAATATGGGGCTGATTAGTGATGCACGACATTAGTACATATCTTTAAAGCTTCAACAATTGGGAAACACTTTGAACATGTAGAATTCAGCAGACTTACACATGTCTATCCCAGCTTCTACACAAGGCATTGTCATACAGGTTATCACAACAAAGTACCAACTTAGCTGCTGTTTTTCAGATCACCATATGACAAAAAGAATTGCCAGAATGGAAATTCTTGACCATGCATTTGTTGCCGGTAGGTTAGACTACTGTAACGGCTGCTACAAACCATTTGCAAACAGCTGCAGTACATTCAAAATACTGCAGTCCTGACTAGAGCCAGGAAGTACGACCACATTAGTCCAGTCCTCAGGTCTCTGCACTGGCTTCCTGTGGCTCAGAAAATTGACTATAAAACAGCTCTGTTTGTGTACAAGTCTCTCCATGGCCTCTCACTAAAGTACATCTGTGACATGTTAGTCCCATATGAACCAACTCGGACTCTGAGGAGCACAGGGACTGGTCTCCTGCTGATGCCAGAGTCAGATCTTGTTTTGTTCAACACTTTCAGTTGTCTTGTGTATGAACTGTGCAATATACACAAAACTTGCCTTGTCTTACTGTGTCAATCACCTGAAGATTTGGAACTATCAATTTGACCCACATCCTGTATCGCAAAGTGTCTGTGTCTGAGAATATTTGTTTTCCTCTGATGGATTTTAATACCAAAAAACCTTGATCTTTTTCATTCATTCAAAAATGTCTCTGCAATGCCGTAACAAACAACATCAGAAAATACAGGTATACATCTCTCACTATAAAAACAATATTGAGAGGGTAAATAACTGCACAACCAGAAAAACTAGAGATTATATTTCATTTAGAATAGTGGGACGAATAAAGTATCTCTTAATCATTATTACTTTTTAATTTTCTACACACTTTGACCGCTGCCATTCACCTGAGTTGTCCTGCATGATGGTGTAGATGAGTTTGCAGATCCTCAGCAGCAGAGAGACTTTCTTGTCTGGCGAGTACATCTTTCTCATGTTCAGGAACTTGTGTCTGATCTTTTCGATGACCACGGCGTCCGGAGGCACCGCGGCTCCGTCCACGCCCAGCTCCTGCGGACGTTTGGACTTGGCCAGAGCCAGATTCTCCTTCAGCTGCGTCCAACCACCGCTGCTCACCTGCACAGAGCAACGGCCACGCAGACAATGTGAGAAGGCTTTATAGACTGACACTTAAAGGGGACATATTATGCAAAAAAAAACATGTTTATTTTGAGCGTTTAACCATTTTACAATATTGTTTTTAGATCCATCCAAGAAACATCTAATATAAAGAACTTAAGGCTATGGCGTTACAGTGCGTTTTAAAATAAGCACTGCCCATTGATTTTCAGGTAAAATCGCGTTCTCTGAAAATCACATGACGCTGGGAAATTTTCACATTTGAAAATAAAAAAATAGAATTCTACAGCTCCCTCTTGTGGTAGCAAATAGAAAGGGCAGGCTGATAGCATTACTTACCCTTGTTATGTATAATAATTTCACATTCTAAAACATGACATAAGTATGACAAGATTTGACTGAAATTAAGGCTGAATTAAGAGTTAGTTTAATAATAAGACGAGTAAGATTTTAAACAAAAAAAACACATTTGAAAACACATAAGAAATAGAATGAAAAATAGGGGCTGGAAAGATATCTCCATAGACTTCAATGTTATCGTCCTCAACTGACGGGGAATCTGCAGCTGGTCATTCTAATGATTTTAACAGCCAAAAATAAGGCCTTCTTTGAATTTTCCCACTGTCGGACAAATATAGGTTCTCTTCTCTTTGTCCATGGTCCATGAAATATGTGTTGTAGGACCAGCATTTCCATGAGAGATGTACACAATGTTATCAGTGTTGAATATGACAGTTTTCTTGAAAATGTGAGACAGGCTAACCCTTTAATGTTGAAGGAAGCAATGTGTTTTTTTCTTTTTTGGTTCAAAAAAATATCTAGTTTTAAGTTTTTTCTTTTTTAACCCCTCATTGTTTTCATTATAGGCCTTTAACAAATAGCCGGTGATGCAGTTTGATTGGTTAAAAAGTGCCCTAAACCAGGTGAGATGCCCCAAAGAGGTAGATTTCAGTTCCAAGTTTAAAGTAAATATAGTGACTCAAAAGATAATCAACCAAATGGTTGAGGAACCCATTAAAGGATTAACAACTGTTCTGTGATTATTTATGCCTACTTGATGCTGTTTATGGTTGTTCTTGTATCTTGTTTTGTACAGCACTTTGAGTTGCCTTGTGTATGAACTGCGCTATACAAAAAAACCTGCCGTGCTGTACCTGAAAGTCATGCAGAATCACATCGATGACACTCTTCAGGGGCTTTAACACACACTTGTGCATGGCTTTCTCCAGGACTTGATCTGAAAGAGGAAGTTAAACATGGGTTAGGGAAAGGAGATGTGAGACAGAGCCAGTCAACTCTGCCAATACACTCAAGCTAGACCAGTTGTTTATTTGTATAATTACACTGCGCTAATGTGGATGTGGGAATCAAAATGGACATTATATACCCAAACCTTTTTTACTTTTGTCTTTTTTACTGAATTTTTTTATACAAGATGCTTCATATGTATTTTCACTGTTTAGGCATTTTTGTATATTGCGTATTTTGTGTGTTCTCTGTGTGCGCTTACTGCTGTCATGTATGTGCGGTGCAACATTGACATAACATTTTCTTGTCTGATTTTAATGGCTTGTGAAGCATTTTGGGTTACACTTGGGAATTGTGCTTTTTACATACATTTGATTTGTTTATTGATTGTAAAAGCGCATAAGAACGTTTTAAAATCCAGGTTGTCCGCCCTTGGACTAAAGTGGCTTTTTTACTAAAAGTAAAAAAACCATACATTATTTATATTATGCCCTTGAACCCAGTAGATGGCATCATTCTGTATAGCTAGTAGCTACATATAGTCTATGATAGCTACTCAAAATCATTTAGTAATATGTATTCATCTTTAAATGGAATGTAATAGGCCGACAGAAAAGCATACAGTATTTCCATAACTTGTATATCATTGTCTGTATGTTTTAAATTGGACCTAGAGTCTGTAATAAAGTTGAATTGAATTGAATATTTCAGTCATGAGTATACTGCAAAAATGAAGCTCAAGCGGATGTTCAGACTGAAAGACCGAGTGCCTGCCAGCCTCGAGCCTCAGCCAATCACACAGCCAGGCCAGCCTCCTGCCAACCCTCTCAGAGCAAAGCGGGCAGTTTAAAAGGCAACCACTTCCTGACAAACAACGCTTCCTGAGGCTCTTAAACAACCATGGGCATGGTTCTCTGACCGCCGCTGCTGCCGGTCCCTGCTGCTCCTACTAATGCCTGTTCCCTGATGCCTGCTCCCCGTTCCTGCTGCTACTACTGATGCCTGCTCCCCGTTCCTGCTGCTACTACTGATGTCTGTTCCCGCTGCTGCTGCTGCCTGTTCCTGCTGCTCCTACTGATGCCTGCTCCCCGTTCCTGCCGCTCCTACTGATGCTGTTCCCGCTGCTGCCTGTTCCCGCTGCCGCTCCTGCTGCTCCTACCGCTGCCTGTCCCTGCTGCCTGCTCCTGCTGCTCCTACTGATGCCTGTTCCGCTGCCGCTCCTGCTGCTGCCTGTTCCTGCTGCCGCTCCTGCTGCAGCCTGTTCCTGCTGCCTGCTCCTGCTGCTCCTACTGATGCCTGTTCCCGCTGCTGCCTGTTCCGCTGCCGCTCCTGCTGCTGCCTGTTCCTGCTGCCGCTCCTGCTGCTGCCTGCTCCTGCTGCTCCTACTACTACACGTGCCGCTGCTGCTGTTCCTACCGCTGCCGCTCCGCGGGCTCCCAGGCTGCCCCTACGGCTCGGCTCTTTCAGACACGTACAGTATGTAACCTGGCTCACAGAGACAAGCGGCGCACGCTGGCGTGACATGGTCTGTTTGCCCGTATGAATCGCATTGTGGTTGCGTTGTACGTGCTCGTCCCGGGCCCGTGATTGTCCCGTGCCATCGCTTGTTTGGGGTCTGTTCCTGCTTTGACCCGCTCTGATCTGCTCGTCAGTGCTTATTGGCGCCGCTCCTTAAACACGTCCAGGCTCCGTGTCACTGCTGCTCAAGTCTCCTCCGTGAGACAGTTCAACTCCAGCGTGCTTGGTGGCATGCAAAATTACATTTTGGAGTCTTCCCTAATCAGTCTCCTTCTAAGGCCCGAATTGTTCGTATTAAGGCTTAATGTATCGGTCTCCGAGGCTTAACGACATATTGCACGTTCAGGGTGAATAGGAATCTGCAGCTTTGGCGCCTCTCTGATTTGGTTGCTCCCTAGACAAAGGCCTAATGTAATATTGCTCGCTCAGGGTGAAGAGGAATCTGCAGTTTTGACGCCTGTCTGATTTGGACGCTCCCATAAGGTGAAGAAAGTGCGTTTAGCTTCATGGCCCTGTCACGCGCATAATGGCGTATGTGAATGCACGTCGTATAGCAAAGCATGGCAAGTTTATTTGTATAGCACAATTCATCCACAAGGCAATTCAAAGTGCTGAACAAAATAAGTAAGCATTAAAATCATAGATATTCACAGAACATTAAAAAGAAGGATAGAAATATATGTTTTGACCTTGTCTTAAACATTGTCAGAGAGGAGGCCTGTCTCACATCTTCAGGAAGATTGTTCCAGATTTTAGCAGCGTGAGTCTGAAAGGCAGCCTACCCACGTTAGTTCTGACTCTGGGCACTAACAGGAGTCCAGTCCCTGTGCTCCTCAGAGTCCGGGCTGGTTCATATGGGACTAACATGTCACTATTGTGTGTTGGTGCGAGGCCATGGAGGGACTCGACTTGTATATGTGCATGCACATGTAGGTACGTAGTATACGTGCGTGCATATTGTTATGTATATGCGTATGTGTCTTATAGTCTTAAGCTCGCTTCGCTCAGTTCTCATCAGGGCTGTCTCTGCTCTCGTCAAACTTTCCGTAGTTTAATCGTAATTATGATTAGATGCTTTGCAATGAATGATGTGAGCTACCTTTGCTGGTCGTCGGGCTATTCCGTTAAAAGACAACCTGTTCCAACTGAGGCCAAGGGAACCTGGGTTCGTAAATACTTATTCGGTGTCGTCCATTCTACTTCAGCGCAGCCAATGTAGACGTGTCGTAACCCGTTCTGAGATGTTGTCGTTCTCGGTCGGGCTAGAATCTCCGCTAATCTGTAGCTAGCGAGACGACAGGAGGTCGTCATTCAGCCAACTTCAGCTCTTTCATAGTTTGTCCTAAAGTTCGGACCAGTCCACTGCGGTTTCGCCTACGTGTCGGCCCCGGGACTAGTCTGGCGGACTGAAGCGGCCCTCGTACCGAAATCCTCGAGCCCCCTCCGTGTACAGTAAATATTGCTCATAGGGACGCGTTGCCCCAGGTCATTAGCAGTGTGTTTCATTTTATCCTGAGCAGGCTGGCGTCGATTATCAAAAGTAGTTTTATGCTTTGTTCCACCTCCGTGCGGAGTTTTGCATGTTCTCCCCTCGTCCGGCCGGTTTGCTCCGGATCCTCCACGTGCTCTGGCCTTCCCTCACTGCTACCGCGTGCTTTGATCCGCCCTGCGCCTCATACGGGCAATCTCTCTCCGATTCTCCGCGTGGAGTCGGGGGGCAGCATCCACGACGGTCACATGCTCTCTGCCGCACTCTCATGGCTCTGAGTCATCGTAACGGTTGCTCGCTCTACTGCTCGTTCTCAGGTGCCGCTCTGTTCGTACTTATTCTGCTCCGTGGCCGCTCTTTGCCGTCGTTCTGAGTTTCCTAATTGCATCAAGATAGCTCTCTCCTGTCCAGACGGAGATTCGGTCGGTTCTTGTTTAATCTCTCCCTTATGTTGCAGGGCGCTCTTGCTGCACGGCTGCGCCTTGCGAATTATTCTCGTAGCAATAGGCCCTGTCATTCCCGCGCGGGGCATGCCCTTCCTACGCGGGGCTCGTCCATCTCAAGCCCGGCAGGCGTCTGGCCGTCACACTGGCCACCCGGCACACGTGATGACCCTCATCGAAGGTTTCGTAGATGCTCCCTCAGCTTGGACACGGAGAGAGAGAGGATAGGAGGAGGAGGACCAAGGTCTCTTGGTCCGTCCTGTCCTCTGTCACGTCCCAAACAGGTGCTGCTCTTCCGGCTGGGCCGCCTCATCCTCGCAGTGCACGTCATTCCTCAGGCCGTGGTTCGTCCCCAGGCTCCTGCGCGCTCTGCAACCCTGTTTTCCTGTTCGCAGGTGCTGCGCTGACCTCAGCTTCAGCTGCTGCCTGCCGGAACGGCGTCTTTCATGATGGCACCGCCTCTTCCACTTACTTATTTCTTTTTCACGGACGCGGCTCAGTCCGTGGGTTTTTGGGGGTCATATCAAGGCCAGTGGTTAGCTGCACCCTGGCCCCAAGGACTTATTACCCCTATCACTATAATCCCTGCATTCAACACTCCAAAAGGAAGGTGCCGTCACACTTTCGTTATGCATTATTTTTCCCCTGTCCAGATAAACACCTGATGAAATGCACTCCTCCATGCACGGAGAGGAGATTCAGATGGGCTGCTATTTCTCTCTCTGTCAAATGACGTCATGTTTGCGCAATGCATCCAAGCCCATTTAATAAATCCGGCCGGTCTCCTGTGATCTCCCGATTCTCCAATACCGGCCGCTGGATTAGAATAGCCGCCGCACTCCAGCCTGCTGGGCCTTCCTCACTCTTCCCTACAGCAAATGGGTCAATGGTCCACGGCTTGGTCCTGCCTCATCCTCTATCAGACTAAACACTGACACTATTCTGACTGCTCAGCGCTCCCTCTTCAATCTGAGGTAATTATCAAATACTCTGGTGGTGGCTAAGGCTCTTCTCTCACATAAGCATTCTCAACATCTGTTGCACTTCAATCCGGACATGCATATGATCACCTTGTCTTACATCATACATTCATGCTCACCGCAGCGCTCTGTGCAGAGAAGCTTCTCTGCATAACCCCCTACGGCTCACGCTATACACGCACCTCACGAAGCGGCCTGTGCGCGAGAGGCAGCTCCGCACGCCCCAAGGGCCCACGCTTCTACACGCATAGTCATTACAGAGCGTGCGGACTCGTCACCCCCGCATATTCTCTGTATCATACGCTGACACACGCATGCTCAAATATAGCAGATCTTGTATGAGAAAGCTCTCTACATTGCTGCTCCACATTCCCAACACGCAGAGCCCGCATCAGCTCTGCGATTACACGCATTTACTCTTCACTTCATGCATCCATCACGCACGCATGATCACATAGCCGCTCATTCAGTGAGTGTCTGTTCCCACAGATCCCCTGCGGCCTACGTCATACATGCACCCTCACGAAGCGGTCTGTGCGCGAGAAACCCTCCGCACGCTCCAAGGGCCAACGCTTCATACACGCAAAATCATTACAGAGCGTGCGGATTGTCACCCCCGCATATTCTCTGTATCCTATTCATGCAATTCTGCTTCCAGGCAATGCTGCCTCCATGCAATGCAGCCTCCACGCAATGCAGCCTCCATGCAATGCAGCCTCCACGCAATGCAGCCTCCACGCAATGCAGCCTCCACGCAATGCAGCCTCCACGCAATGCAGCCTCCAGGCTATGCTGCCTCCAGGCTATGCTGCCTCCAGGCTATTCTGCCTCCATGCAATGCTGCCTCTATGCAATGCTGCCTTTATGCAATGCTGCCTCTATGCAATGCTGCCTCTATGCAATGCTGCCTCTATGCAATGATGCCTCCATGCAATGCTGCCTCTATGCAATCTATGCAATGCTGCCTCCATGCAATCTATGCAATGCTGCCTCCATGCAATGCTGCCTCCATGCAATGCTGCCTCTATGCAATGCTGCCTCTATGCAATGCTGCCTCTATGCAATGCTGCCTCTATGCAATGCTGCCTCTATGCAATGCTGCCTCTATGCAATGCTGCCTCTATGCAATGCTGCCTCTATGCAATGCTGCCTCTATGCAATGCAGCCTCTATGCAATGCAGCCTCTATGCAATGCTGCCTCTATGCAATGCTGCCTCTATGCAATGCTGCCCCGATGCAATGCTGCCTCCATGCAAGGCTCCCACGCCTCCAGATAGGCAGCTTCCCACGGGAGGCCTGCGCATTCCCCGGCACACATAGCGTGGCTTCCTCTTTTGGGGGATCTGAGATCATCTCAGCTGCAATCGATCTCATAGCTGCAAGTGTCACTGCCGGGGTCAATGCGCCAAACAAATAAATCATTTTAATGTATTTATCGTGTCTTTGGTCTCTTCAGATTGAAATGAAGCTCAAGCGGATGTTCAGACTGAAAGACCGAGTGCCTGCCAGCCTCGAGCCTCAGCCAATCACACAGCTCTGCCAGCCTCGAGCCTCAGCCAATCACACAGCCAGGCCAGCCTCCTGCCAACCCTCTCAGAGCAAAGCGGGCAGTTTAAAAGGCAACCACTTCCTGACAAACAACGCTTCCTGAGGCTCTTAAACACCCACCACCTCCCCAGCACCCCCTCTGGCTCTTGGCTCCCGCTCTGGCTCCCGCTCTAGGCTCCCGCTCTAGGCTCCCACTCTGGCTCCTGCTCCGCCTACGCCCCATTCACACCATACTCTAGCCACCACCAGTGATTGACCCCGGGGGATCTGAGATCATCTCAGCTGCAATCGATCTCATAGCTGCAAGTGTCACTGCCGGGGTCAATGCGCCAAACAAATAAATCATTTTAATGTATTTATCGTGTCTTTGGTCTCTTCAGATTGAACTAAAAAAAGACACAGGGAGGATCCTCTTTATCAAACCGGGTTTTCCTTTCAGGGGAAGCACTGTTGACGTTCTAGAGATTGTTAGACCGTGGAAGCAATTACTCACATTTCGGCCTCTATAACTTTATCTGAACTGGGATGAGCAGCTATACTTTGATCTGCTTCAGCTCGGCCGCTTCAAAACAAAACCGATTCCTTTCTGCTTTCACGTCCCGCTGATCTGCTGTAAAGCTTTTCTACGTACAATGGCTCCTTCTGTGCTTCAGACCTACGTTAACAACTGCTGCCCACCTCAGCGATGCCAAGTATGCCACCAGCCGACAATTCAACACTATTGTTGAGTGTCACTGACTGTTGTGCGTCAAGGGAGACAAATAAAATACATTAAACTCAGCTATCTGTAAAAACTGAAACTGTATTAGAATACTTAAATACAGGATATGAATAAACAATGTGGGCTGTTTCCATGGTAACTTCTGCAGAGTTGTGTGCCGTAAAAAATAGTTGTTTGTAATCTTGATGCTTGTGGACATGTAAACAGGCTTAAATTGATACATAAACAGTCACATGTTTAAGAAAAAATATCAAAGCAACAACAATGAAATCATATTCAACTAGTAATTTAAATTATGGAGAAAATAGAATAAAAATATATTAGAAAAATCTGAAAATAGACTTTCAGAATCTTGGTATTACTAGAACTCCCAGAGGTCATTTAACCTGCTCCCATTCACGTCAATGGAATTCTAAAGAGTTAGTTTGTCCACCAGTTTTGTGAAAAATAAGTAATTTATATGTTTATTTAATCACGATTAATAAGAGCTTAACCATGTTCATAGTAAATGTGCTTCCAAAACGAAAAGCTGTCAAATTGAGTGTTCTGGGAGTTCTAGTGTCTTCTTTCTGGTTTCATTTGTGTGACAGGACTACAGTTATTTGAAGTGAAATTGTAATATGTTGTATTGTCATGTCCACAATTGAAATAAATAAATAACTAGGGGCTGGTGCTCGGTGAATTGGGTGGCAGCTCATCCCTGACCCAAAAATGGATTTAGGTGTAGAAAATGTATGGAAATAAATAAATAAATAGATAATTAAATACACCATTAAATCTAAATTAATAGTGAAATTGAAACTATTTCCTCAACTCAAAACCGTAAATTGTGTTGTGTAAGCTGGAAGAGGATTCTTTGGCACATGTCGGTGATCAAGCTCAGACAAGAATCTGCTAGTGGGAACCATTAAAACAAATGCTGACGATAAGCATGAATTTGACCACAAAGACATCACCTCCTCAGGTCTGCAAAGAAAAAGTACGTCTGAGGAATTTTTACGAGACGATACAGGCTCCTACCGAGCACCCAGAGAAGAATGTTGTAATGTAGTTCCAGGTTTGGTCAGATAAAAAGCCATTAATTGGGAATATGAAATGAAAAACACTGCCCCTTTGGTGTGCTAAACATTTTGGTTTAAATATTTTTTCTTCTGTACATATTCTTTGGGCAGCTGGTGTTGTTGTAAATGTGCTAGACAATTAAAAATGATATAGACGTTGACATATTTGCAAATGCATTCATAATTTCTATTCTGTTGGATATTGAAGGGAAAGCGCTTTAAGATTTTTTCAGGTCTTGATTTTGGTTCCATAAAAACATGGCTCTAGGGTTAAAACTCCCAAAGCGTCAATTTGACTGCTCCCAATCAAGTCAATGCAAGTCTGGAAAAAAAGTGAGATTGTCCACCAGTTTCTATAACAATTCATACCCTTTTTACCGTTACTCACTTTTAATAAGAGCTCAAACTGGTTCATAGTAATTGATAGAAAAAAACTAAAAGCCGTCAAATTGACTGCTCAAGGGAGCTCTGGGAGTTCTAGTGTTAATCAGAATCAGAATTATTTATATTGTCATAGTAAGTAACTAATAAAAAACTATTACTGCCACTATTTATGACTCCTTTACAACTATTACTACTTCTGTTGTAATCCAGACACAATGGGGCTTTTTGTTCAAACATTAGTATTGTCAAAATCTTCCAAATCCAAAGTAAACAAACGATGTAGAGTGAACTTTATCAGGACAGCGTGATGTGGCCTGACTTTACAAACATTGCGCTCGCAGTATCATGACGTCAGTTCACTTTGAATTTGTTTTTCATTAGAATGGAGAAGGCGCAAGTGGGAGGGGAGAATGCGAGAACAGAGAGAGGACGATGATTTAAGTAATGTTTTTCCTACAAGGACAAGGCTAATGTTTATGGGGATTTCTGCGGTTGGTTCATAATGTTAGACAGAACTGCGTCTCTCTGTGTCTCGGGAACAAGGCTTTGCTGTGTACAGGACTTATTAACATTCACAAACATACAATGGGCTTATTTATGACCTCTGTGTTGTGTTATGTAAGACTACTGCATCTACAACTGTATTGTTATGTTTGTATATACATTAAAAAAACATTAAAAATACTTTAGCCGACAGGTGGTTGGTAAATTGCCCTCATCATACCACATTACAGGAGAATTCACATGATCACTCACTGGTCATTTTACCAGCTCCTGTATTTTGAGCCTGATAGGAGAGTTATATTGGCTTTTAAAGTAGAAACAAATATGAATGTTTTTTTTTTCTATCAGGTGATAAATAGTATTGTGCTTAACTTAAAGCTGGGGTACTTCTTTCTTTTTGTTTCTTTTCCAAAATAACATAATGCATCGGTTTTAAATAGCACATTATTATTATTATTCATTAAAATAACAGTTTGTTTGTTTAAAAACTTAAAACATTGTAAACATATCAGACCACAACATGCTATCTTTAACTTAAAAAAAATATATTTTTCTTTGCATACTTTTAAGAAAAAGCCATGTGAGTTACTATTTGACACTTTGGGTTGATCGCTGACTTGCAGAGAGAGGGTGGTCCTTTCTTTTAAACTTTACTGTCTGGAAAAAGCTAATCTAATGTTGTGACAGAGGCCAAAAAAGAGTGTTTTGATAATGAGGAACTGTTATAGAGATTTAGCCTAACCCTAACCCTATAACATAGTTTAATTGTCTGTGGTTGTAAAGTTAGGTACCCTAGCTTTAACTCTTGTCTGTGTCTTTTTGTGTCTCTGTATTGTGTTTTATATGGACCTTGAGTTTGGGATAAAGTTGTATTATTTTTATATTATATTATAGTATTAACTCAGTAATTATATGTGTCTCACAATACAACCAAACAATAGCTAAACTTATGATAAAGCCTATTTTATGGGACACATTTTTTGAATATTACCAAAATCATTTAAAACTTATTTCTAGTATAGCCCCAATGTAAAGATTGGCAATAATGCAACAATGGTATAACAATATTAGCCATGCCAGTAATCTAAGTATTTCCATTCTACCTCAATGTCTACCTTATCTAATCTCTCCTGAGTGGTCTGCTATATCTACCCACAAAATGTTGTCACTTACCTATCTGATCTTCTGGTATGAGCGACTCAAGTGGAGGGTCCAGCTCCGAGCTTTGGTTCAGGTAGGCTTTCATCTGGGTCAAAAACTGCCTCAGCGTCTGCAAGAAGTCTACCCCTGACGTGTGGCACCCTTTATTCTCCTGCACAAAACTCAGATAATCCTGCACCAGCGACCCGAAGTACGAGCTCTTGTCCCGGGACAGCTCTGCGATCCTCTTCACGGCTCTTCTCTCCGGCGTCATCAACGAGCTCAACATGCCGCTGACCTTACGAAACCGTCCCTTTAGCGCTCGCGGTAGAATGAAGGACCCCTCGCTCAGCCTCACGGCCATCCTGCGTCTGCGAGACTTGAACGAAGGCCGTAGGCGCATCTCCAGATCGGCTTCCAGTCCGACCCCGTAGTCCTCTTCGTCCTCGTACTCCGCATCCTCCTCCTCGTCGCTGCTGTCCACGGCGATGTCCTGGTCCTGGGATGGACTCGAGGCCAGTGCTTGTCCGATTGAGAATCTGGGGTATTCGAGAGAGTCGGAGGAGGACGTGGACATGCTGACGTCACTCAATCGCTGGCTTTGTTCACTCGTTTCTAATTTGTCGGTGGCTGGTGGGCTGGCTGGTATTTTGGCTCGCGACAGGGCTTTGGCAATAGTCTCGTCATCCAACGCTATGTGACAGCGGTGAGATTCCAAATCGGGTTTCTTGGGGCGAGGAGGAGGAGCTTTAGTGCTTTTGGATTGGTTAATGTTGCTCTTGTTGCTATTGCTGGTGGTAGTGGGAGGAGGTGGTGCAGGTCTCTTGGTGGAAGGCTGCGATCGCCTCACGCTGGACTGCACCGTCGGCATGTTTTTGGGCTTCGTGGTGGCGGATTTGGCAGGGGTGGACGTAGGGGGAGGTGGGGCGGGTCTACGGCGTGGCATAAAGCAAGGAGGAGGGGGGCGTGGCGGCGGGGAACGCGATTTGCTGTTCAGTTTGAGCTCCTCTTTCATTAAAACTACTCTGGGGTTCGGTTTGCCCGCCTGCTGCGGTCGATCCTGGCTGCGATGTCGATGGCGCGTTTGGAGGAAAAGCGGATTGACATAACACAGCGGTCCTCTCGAATGTCTCTTTTCCGGGAGCAGAGAAGAATTCTGTGATCGGAGCGTCGGAGGAGCGCTCTCGCTGTTATGGGAAGGCCTCTGTGGGGATTCGCCGACTGGATCCTTGGGTTTGTTGGGTCGTGGTGGGCTGAGGGTCCGGCTCACGGGGCGACAGGTGCGAGGAGAGGCAGGAGGGCCACTGCAGAGAGCGGAATCCCAAAAGCCTGTAAGACACAAGCAAACAGAAACACACTGTAGTTATAAAGGCAAATATTAACTAACCTCCACAAGTCCTGGAACAACTGACAGCTGCAGGAAAAAGGATATCCCCTTAAAGCTACAGCCACAAATTATACACACTGGACAATTTGTTGTCTGAGTCTGGTACAATTTTGCTAATGCTAACCATGCTAATAAGTGTTTCACCATTACTCTCTTTGTTATGGCATTTCACAAGGAAGACATTGCACCAACGTGGATTTTATAGTATCTACTATAAAATCTAATATGTTTTTTGCAGTCCATTCTAGTCTTTATATACTAGCATAAAAGCTGAATCTATCAATCATTGAATCCATATAAAAATATATGTAATTAAATTCATGTTACAAGTTCCTCGCTCTCAAAATTGTTTGCCTGCATGTATTTTTGGCTTCTGTCACATCTTCAGATCAGATTTTTCAGTGTTAAAGAGAGCCCAGCCAATCAGCTCTCAGTATGCAACAGTATGTTTTCTAACAACACTTTATTACTTGTACAAGACTCTTTCAGTTGGCACCAAAGAGATACGTTTATGAAGCAAGGTTAGGACCTCCCGCTTTAATCCTCCTCTACAGTTATAAAGAAGGCAATAACATTAAACAAAATACAAAACTGAAGAATACTGATCAATTGCTACTTTTTCACCTTCACATAAAACCCAAATCTATTCATTTTTTATAGTGCCAAGTCGCCCATGTATCTCTTTGCCTTTTTGGTCATAATTTGCCAGTTTTCACTTCCCTCACTGCAAAAAATGATAAAATATGAGGTAATAAACGCTGGAATTGAGTGGTTTTTATCTTAATCTGAGTAAATTCTGACTGTCTTAAAACACAATTTGCCAATGGGACAAAGCCATGTAGTTTTATTTCAGGAACTGTTGCTTTATTTTCTCATTCCAAGGGAGACATTTCTTGCATCTTTTTTAAAAACACAATCATTTTGCCTGTCCCATTGGCAAATCTTGTTTTTAGGCAGTCAAAACATGCTCACATTAAGACACATTCTGCCATTTCTGAAACATATTTTACTTATTTTTCACCACTCGTTGCAGTGCGGCAATAAAAAGCCAGACTTAAACTTGATTAAAACCTGAAGAAGTCATTTCAAAATCTCTCACCAGCATTTGTGAAGCGCTCTGAGTAAATCCGGCTTAGTCCTGGGTTAGTTTCTATGTTATAACTAGCATGGTTGTGCCGTGTAGAAGTGGCTTTTCGAGCCCGGTCTCTGGCTCTGAATGTGGTTGACACACGGCACAGACACGCAGAGGGAGTGTCCAAGGCTCACGGAGAGGGAAGGAGTGGCTACAACTGTGAGAGCGTGTTTCCTCAAGACTGCCGGCTCTTCCTAAACATTTCCTGTGTTGCTTCTTTGTCAAATGCTGATAGTATTGTATTAGTCTGCATCCACTTCCCATTAGAGCGGAAGAGGTGGCGTGGAGGAAAATCCGACTGCTTTATTAACTGTTCTTTTAAATTCTTTTCTCAGAACAATAATTGCTTTGTGATTAAACGGTTGACTCTATGCACCCAGCTAAACCCACTACTTCAATACAATCCACTTTACTTACTGTTTATAGCACAAGAAAAACCTAACCCTTTACCCTTTATGCAGCAAATAATTTAAAAAAAGATGTAGAAGATATATGAGACATTATGAATTCAAATCCAAACCATAAAACAACGAAATACCAACTGTATACACACATAACTGAATATATGTAATAAAATAAGTACAACTTTACATTACATCTGATAAATGAGACTTTTTGCATTAAAAATATCGAAAGTGCTTGAAAGACTAGCATAGAGTAGAATATTCTCACACATATACTATAGAAGATGCCTATGACATAGAACAACAATATCAACCGAAGGTGATTCACAGACAGGCAAAACACAGAAATTACAAGTTCAAAATCCTCAAATCCTCTTCTCTAGTTGTCTGCATGTGTGTTTAATGAATGAGAACAAATGAGAACGAATGTGTCTAAAAATAGCGGTGGTGAAATGGAGATCCAGTGTGATATTCTGTCTGCCCCACGTGAGACCAGCTGACGAACAGAGACCCAGACACGGGGTCAAAATGTGCAGTATATACACACACACTAATGAATCACGAGGTCAACCTGTGTAAGTATGTATAGTAGAAAGTTTACATTATGACAAAGAATCCACCAACTACCAAAAGGCTTGTAGCAGTTCTGTAGCCTGAGGTTCTACAAATGTAAAGCATATGAGACTTTTACACATTTCAGTTTCCAGTTGTTGAGGCTGTGACTTTAAGGGCCTGATCACTTTGTGTATTATGTCTTTTATGCGTTTGTCCGTTTTGTGAAGGCCAGACTCAACACGTGTATCATCTTTAATGGGATGAATTAAATATATTTGAAAGAGCACTTCAGCCACTTGCTTGTCTCAAAGTCCAAAGAGGATGCAATAGACTTCTCGGAATGTTCCACCGTGTCAATAAAAGTCACCCTCTCCGTAGATACAAGCAGACGACACCATCGGGTCAAGTTACAGGTCAGATCTGTGGGGAGGGGGCTGCATGCACTAAAGAGCGGTGAGCTGTATGAAGTGAATTAGCTTTCTTGAAGGAAACACAGTTTATTAATTAAACAAGTAAAGGTGATTACTTTGAAAGGCCACTTTTACCCAGTTATAAAAATCATGAATGTCGTGTGAAAATTTGATTATTTTTGCATTCGCTTAAATGTAGGAATGATAATGAAGCAGGTACTTTTAAGATTTTTTGGCTTCTTGCTTGAAAATGATATAATAATAATGCATCGGTTTTATATAGCGCTTTTCTGGACACTCAAAGACGCTTCACATGTGTCATTATTCATTCACTCCATACACGGTGGTGATAAACTACTACTGTAGCCACAGCTGCCCTGGGGCACGCTGACAGAAGCGAGGCAACCAGTATGCGCCATCGGCCCCTCCGACCACCACCAACCATTCATACATACACCAGACTCATTCTAGGCAATGGGGGTGAAGTGTCTTGCCTAAGGCCACAACAGCAGTTTGGCACTTTACAGCCGCAGCCGCCCCACTGAGGCTGCTGTTCCCAGAGGTTAAGTGTCTTGCCCAAGGACACAACGACAGTAGTCAGTGGGAGTCGATGGTGAAAGTCTTGAGTGGGTCTTGAACCCATGACCTTCTGGCTCAAAGGCCAACACTCTACCAACTGAGCTCTACCGCCCTGGCATGAACATGTAAAGATACATTGTAAAACTGCTCAAATAAACAACAACAACTACTACTACTACCACTAGACATAGACAGGACCAAGACTATAACAGGACAATGATACAGTATCACAAAGTACATCTATTCATGGGTAAATTGCAGAGTCACACTGATACTACAGTAGTTTGGTGAAGCTGTTTATGTTTCACTGTGGAGGAATGGACAGTGACATGCAAGACAAGGTAGCTTTAAATAGAAGTCCTATGGGAGTCACCCTGTGTTACTGTTGCTAGGACGCGGTAAACTCTATGGCACGTTCGGCCTCGCAATGACAGCGGGTAGAAGAATAATGCACCCACTTCAACAATCAGTGGAATGGAAGCGGCAGATCGCACCTGGGACTAGTGACACAGGCTGTAGGCTGTGCGGGTGTGTGTGTGTGCGTGTGTGTGTGGGTGCGTGTGTGTGGTAGTGTGTGTATTTAGACAGCACTCTCTGCCCGCTGTGGCTTTTCCAATGGCCACTCCCTTCTCCCTCTGAGTGCTAAACTATAATACATGCTGCTAAAAGGGGAAGATGACTCACAGTAGGTCATTGCAGTCCTGAGTGCGTCCAAGAGAAATAAAAAGTTATGGCTTAGAAGGTTCTTTTAATAAGACGAAACATGTAAAGAAGCTAGCACTGCTCAACTACATTATTGTCTTATTAAAAGAACCTTCTAAGCCTTAAACCATGGGTGTCAAAGTCAAGGCCCCGTCGGCCAGATCAGGCCTGCAAGACAATTTTTAGTGGCCCCTAAAATTATGTATTATTATTAACTAGCAGCATTGATGGTAATGGGTGAACATGGCAGGTTATATTTTCTCAAGAAAACACCCAAATTGAATGTATTCTAACATTTTAACCCAATAAAACATAGTTAGAAGTTAAATAGTTCAATAGTAAATGTTTTTACTTTATATTTGATCCAGTTTTGTTTTATTCTAAACAATAAACATTTTGTTTGTGAAACTCATGTCACATTAAAGTCATTTTAAAATATCTTCATAATGTAAAAAACTATGATAAGAAAAGGAAATCTCTTCTATAGTTTTGGCCCCCAACCAGTTCCTATTTTTATTTTTTTTAAATCGGCCCCTTACCAAAAAGAGTTTGACACTTAGAGCCTGAAGGTTGTGGGCCTTAAACATAAGCAGAAACAATTAACTTTTTAGAAACAAGTTATGAGAAGTTTCTACAATGATTTGAGAAAATCATTGAAAAACACATAATGCAAATGCAAATGTGTTTTCATTTCACAGCCTAATCTGTATTATTAATATTATATTTCACTTTAACTGGTAACCGGCCAACTTTCAGTAAGAACAGTTTGATTCAGTAAAATGTGGTGCCCGTTTGAATTTAATTGTCATCATTTTTAATTGTTTTAACACTTAAAGACACAGAAGTCTCTATAATCTTGTTCTTACATATTTTTATATATTTTTTTTATTTTTTATTAGTTTAAGCAGTCCTCTATCGCTTATACAGTATCAGGGCTCCACCTTTTGATTGTTTGTCTGTAGCTAAAAGGTTAAACAACACGATTCCACTTCAAATTCAGACAATGACCAGTATTTTTTCCTTAGATGAGGCGCTCTCTGTTGTAATAATATGAATGCTGTATGATTTTCACTTTTCTATCTTTCTAAATTATAACAACATCATGTATCATTTGGCTTTCACTTGTCTGGTACTTTAAAATTACTTTATGTTTATACTGCTGGAACGTTTGCACATTTTGTCAAGTTTGCAACCATAAATACTTTTACGAGGCACTGTATCTTGTCCTGAAGCGCTGACAGTAACGGTCGTTCCAGGCATCATTCAAAATACCAACTCCAACAAATGAGAGTTTACCTGCTCCTAGTTGCGCCGCCTCCTCCAGCTCTTTCTGAGTCTTGGCCGACGCAATGGCTTCTGGGAGTTTGAGTGTAAAGGGCAAAAGATCTCTGTGAATGAATAACCATCAGAAACGCATTAGTGTAAAGGATTAGAGTCTGAGAAGCAAGGCATGAGATACAGCAGTGAGTCCAGTCATTCAAATGTTATGAATGAAAAATAGTAATTACACCAAGAAGCAATTAAGGAGTAATATGTCCGTAATAGTACAGTTTCCCTGGCTGAGGGAATAAATAAAAATTCATTCATTTTCTGCCCCTTTATTAGTCAATTTCTGGGTCGGGGGGTTGGTACTCAGAGCTGCCACCCAATGCACAAAATATATCGTAGACAATAATATCGTGAAAGTCAATTTGAAGAAATGCTTTTTTGTATTATCGTCCTTTTTCTTTTTACATACATATTATAATTAGAGAAGGATAAATGAAAAAAAATAAAAAGCCAACCACTGCTTTATTTGATCATTTCAGTAAATATTGAGCCTTTTTGGATGTGTTCTTTCAGTGTTTCTTGAATTTGATTTTTAATGTTAATATGTTTGTGCATGTTTTGCAGAGAAGTATGAAGCTTCTATTTAGATCTACACTGTCTCTATCTATAGATGCCCTGGCAGCAAAACATTACAGAACATTTTTTGTGACAATATCGTTATCAGGAGTTGGGGAAAAAAATAGAGATATTTATTTGTGTCCATATCGCCCACCCTTACACAAAAGTTGATATTGCAATTGTTTAACCTTTGAAACCACACTGGCCAAAAATCCCAAGTGTTTTTTTTTTTTTTTTTTTTACATGCAGTCTACACTGTACATTACATTTTTGTCCTTTTATTTTTGCACTACATGACCATATTGTTTATCTGTGCCATTGCCTGAAATAAATGAATACATAAAAAATGAATTGAATGAACACTAGCCAACAATCCAACCATGTCTACTGGTAAAGCTTTTTTTTGTCATGTTAAATTAGGTGAAAATGTGCCAGTTTTAAATGAATAATCTAACAAACTGAAACGAAACGAAACACTTTCACTACAATAATATCAACAAGATCAAGAGAAGCAAAGAAGAAGGAAGTGAGTCAAAGTATATTGTGCTGACCCAACATGGCCGCCTGCTTTGATCGTTGCAATAACACAGAGATCAGTTCAGAACCGACTGAAGACATCTCCAAAACAAAGTGATGACGCCGTAGATTCAAATGGCACAAAACAAAAAGGCCCTCACGCTGTTTCCGGTGTCGTTTGAACTGTTTATTGTTTCTGCGTTTATGGCACGATAATGGGTTAAGACAAGATTCTGGTGCCATTGAAAACATACTTTTTTGTTTTCTCTTTAATTTGCAACAATAAAGTATGATATTTCTTCTTTTAAAATAACATGGCCAGACCTTTCAGACTTTTGGGGGTGGAATGGGGATTTTAGGGATATCTTAAGGACAAGAATCTATGAATTTCAGCATTGGTATCTATAGACTGTTATTTTTTATATGTATTTGGTGAGTAACTGTAATGGGCTAATAAAAACACAATAAAAACAAATTAGTGATCAGTCATACAAATATCAAACGTGCATTTATTTACCTGCTGATACAGTAAAAAGCCACAAGACGAAACAGGTCTGCAAAACTTATAGCCGAGCCCTCAAGAGAAAACGCTGAAACAGGAGATACAGACAAATAGGAATTAATGTATTGTTTTTGGTAACCATCAAAATAGCATCATAGCATGTAAAATATTGATCCTGTTATTTCATTATTTATCAATGAATACATAAATAATGATATGTCTGCTGTAATTTTCAAGCTTTAATAAAAATAATGTGTTTTTAATGTTTTTTTTTTGAGTCTTTTTATTTCAGAGATAATTTATACTGTTTTGTTTATGTGTAAATGCAAACCACTGCAAAGTCACTATTGGACTTACAGAAGTGTGTGGACTCTTTACTTGTATTACTTATGAATGAATGTATTAGTCCCACAGTGGAGACATTTCAGATAATGTAGATTTCTGTAGATATATAATGTACATTTCAAACACAATTTATCTACAGGTGACAAGCTCGGATAATTAGAATATCAATCAAAAGTCCATTTACTTCCGTTATTCAACTTACAATGTGAAAAAAATGTATGACAGACTACAGGCAAAGTGAGATTTATAAAGTAAGTAAATCATTATACAGCGCAGAGGTGTCCAAACTGGTCCAGAAAGGGCCGCTGTGGCTGCAGGTTTTCTATCAGACCAAACAGGAGCAGAGCAGACTCCATTTCATCATATCTTCCAGGTTAAGACTGAACTCACTTGAGGAAATGGGCGGAGTCTCAGCTGCTCCTGTTTGGTTTGATAGAAAACCTGCAGCCACAGCGGCCCTTTCTGGACCGGTTTGGACACCTCTGAATTAGCGCCTTCTGACTTCTTGCTCTGAGGCACAAGCGCTAACCACTGCCCCACCGTGTCGCAGCCCTAAGCCCTAAGCCTTTATCAATGTCTTTGTGAATCGACAACTTTGTAAAGTCCTCCCAGACGACAGCTGTTGTTATTTAGGGCTACAGACTAATACATTGAATTGAATTTATTTGTGATAATTATGGATCACAGCTTTACAACCCCATTAATACAATTCAAAATGGACTGTCAGCCATGTGCCTCTTTGCATGTCTATATCATTTTAAGTTGAAATACAGAATTTCAACATGTATTATGAATTGTTGTGCAATTAAGTTAGAACTGAGCTGGTCTTTAACAACAGATGCAGAAGTCAGTACTTTTCCACTTGATTTTTTGGTCTGAAGGTCAAAACAAACTTATCTAGTTGCGTCGTGGCAGCCGTCTGCATCCTTTTTATATATTTTTAACAATATTCTAATTCTTCCTCTAATTTTCCGAGTTTCACCTGCACAATAATGAGCCATGGATGTTACCGTTTACTAGGATCACTATATTGCAAGCAGAAATTATTATTATGACAGAGACTTTATTCCTACTTCTTATTATGCTAAAGAAGATTTTATATTTAATTCTTGCTTCATTCTGCTAAAGTTGGAGATTTTATTTTATATTTTGAAGCAACACTGACTTTTGACTTGTTATTTGTATCTGTCTGTTTTGTGATCCTGGTCTGTGAAAGGCAGATAAACATTACTTACATTTCCCCACTGTGAGCAAAAAAACCATCTAATCCTAGCTAACATTTTGTCTATTATACAGACTTCTACAAAAGGAAAAGTCATTGAATAGTTGACAATCCTGAACACATGAGACTTCTGCAGCTGACCCATATTCTGAGGCTAAATCAGGCCAAAGGCAGCGCCCCAGTGAGAGTCCCAGAGCAGGAAGACCTCACAGCTGCAGTGCCTGTCTCCCAAACTCATAAAACAGTCTCCATTTGAATGAGATAGGCAAATATTTTTCTCTTGTTTCGCTAAAAAAGCCTCCATTCTACAAGCTGTAACTGTTTATGCGATAGGAAAATGTTTGAGGGTTAATAATTTGGTCAAACAAGCATCTGCCTTCCTGCTGTTGTCAGACTGAACTGCTGAGCCTGTATATGTCACCTCATCTGTGAATAATCCGTAAATAGTGCAATCAGGAGCAATGTGCAATACGCCGAATGTCCTATAATATATATTGTGTGTGTGTGTTTGTTTTTTGTCTGTATTTTTGTTGTCTTTTAGTTTTTGTCTTACATGGAGTCTTTGTGTGTCTGAATTAAAGATTAAATAAATAAACAATACATATATAAATTTACACTACTGCCCTATATGTGCGCTGCAACATTGACATTTCCCCATTGTGGGACGAATAAAGGTTCTCTTATCTTATGTTATGATCTTATAGGCTTCTTTTTTTTTACAATGTTGTGTTTGCCAAGTCTTGTATGAGTTTTTCCTTGCCGATGCAGGAGGGTCTGAAACTTAAACATTCTCCAACATGTATGACATTTATATGTCTTAAATGTTGATTCTCTGATCTGTGTTGGTGATTTCAATGGTTTTGTTAAGTCCTTTGAGATGACTACTGTTATGATTTAGGGCTATACAAGAACAAATTGTATTGTATTGTATTGTCTCAGGTGTGTGTGTGCGTGTGTGTGCGTGTGCGTGTGTGTGTGTATGCGTGTGTGTGCGTATGCTTTTTCCCCCCACCTTATAATTCAATCTATTATTTTTTTTTTTTCTAGTCTCTATCAAGTGCAATATTCCAATTCAAAAGACACATACTGTATTGGCTTTCTCGGACCGGAAAGTGGCTAATGGCGTTTTCGGACGTCTCCTCTTTTAAGCGCACAGACAGAACCTTCCTCTGCAGAGCTGGAGACTTGCAGACCAGAAACACCTACAACACACAGTCAGGGCTTTAGTTACAAAAGGTTAGTTCAGTCATTCATTCACAGTCCATGTAACAGACTGTTTTTTGTCTGTGTCTTTGCTGTGTCTTTTATATGGACCTTCAGTCTGGAATGAAGATGTATCATTAGATTATTATCATGATTATTGTTACATTGGACCAATTATTTGCGCTATGCTAGTTATAGGCAAGTTTCTTTGTTGTCTATCACGTCTAATCGCTTTGGAAATTATGACGCAAGGGCACAGGGAGAACAAGCAGACATCACTCAGGAAGAATGTAGATAAAGCTCACAGCCTCTTGAGAGAAAGTGCTGCTTTAGTCATACACCTTAGTCATATCCTTTTAGATAATGGAATAAGAGTTGTAATTGTGTTTTTAGGGATATATAAAGTAGATTTTGTGGATGTGTTTCTAAAAGTTGTTTCTATTTTTCTGTTTTTCCTGCACGTTTGAATATGTAATCTATATATAACATCTTAGTCATAAATACATAATGCCGCTACAACCAGATTATGTGGAGGTCCATAATAATGTATCTACTGTATGTCCCTTTTACTGTGAAATTTGCTTTGAATTAAATGTTATTGTATCATACTTACCAAATGTCTATTATAATTTGACCTCTCCCTTCGTGTACATAATAAAACTGTGTGTAAATGTGAAAAAAAATAAATAAATAATAATAATTAAAAAATAATTAAATTGAGTATGTAATCAGTCATGCAGAATACCTTGCTCTAACAAATCCACTATTTATTAGACATAATATTCTAAACTTGTATGATCTTGTTGATGTTTACACTGCAGCTGTGTTGTACAAGGCTTCCTCACGTCATGCTTCCTCAGTGTTTACAAAATAGGTTTCATACTAGAGAATGTAGCTACAGCCTCAGAGGAACTGATCTGCTACAGAAACCCAGAGCAAAGAGTAATAATAAGAAGAGATGTGTATCAGTCAAAGGAGTTGATCTATGGAACAGTCTGTTCAACTTAAGGGCTCAAGAACTATTAAAACATTTAAAAAAAAGTATAAGTCAAATATTATGGAGAAGTATGGGACAATTGAATTGGACTATGCTTAATAACTCGTGTTTATGGAAGTTCATGTTTTGTGCTTCATGTTGCCATCGTTGGTACAGTATATGAGAATCTGTATATTGTGTCATCTATATTTTGATCATGTCTAACATAATTCTGATTATGGAAGTTTAAGTTTTGTGCTACATGTTACCATCGTTGGTATATGAGAAACTGTATAATTTGTCATCTTTGGACGTATTTTCACATTGTAGTAGGGGGTAGGCAGTATAAGTTTCGACTTCAGCCTAAACCCTTTCGGTCAGGTATTGTTCCGCACAAGGTCCTTTATGGACACATTTTGGTTCTTTTTTCATTTTATTTTTTTTATTCTCTTGTTGTAAAAAGTAAATATGATCTCTGTATCCGAGTGACCCGAGATTGGGTGTACATATTGGCTGAAGAAAAAATAAACTACTACTACTACTACTACTAATCTATATTTCTGTTTTCATAAATCCTTGTACAAACCCTGATTTTTACCCTGTCAAGTTCACACCCACATGATTCTACACTGGCCTTTAAGGACGGAAAGAACTTTCAATTCTTTCCTGGTAACTTGGCAGCCGTAGAACAGTTGGTAGAGTCTGTTTATGAGCGTCATGAATGTCATTGATCCGTGGGTTGGCAGTGTGAGAGCAGAGCCTTTTGGTGCATACAGCTGTTGTGTCCTTGGGCAAGACGATTACTCACCTTTTAAGTGAGTGGGTGTGCGTTTTAGATGAAAAAGCAATTGATAACTGAAACTGAAGATAGACGGCTTCATAGTGTGGCTATAATCTGTCATGGTGTGGACTTTTTGTTGATTTGTTGACTTTGGTTCCACCTCCGGCCCTCGGCTACAGGTCACTCCCTGCCCCACCAGCAGAATCGCCACAGCCTCTACTCCCAGATTGTCAGACTGCTCAACGAACACTGTAGAACACTATTTTTAAATCTTGTAGTCTTTCCGTTCTACATTTGAGTTCCTTTGATATTACCTCCATGACATAATCACCTCCAGTAACTTATAGTATGTTCTAATACAATTACAAAAAAGGATCATGGGGCAGGCTTAAATCAATGTTCCAAAGAAAAAAACATTCATACCGTTCCCTCACTTACCCCTGGGGGTTGTTTGAGGAGCAGATGTCCCGCCTCCTGCTCCGTGATTGACAGCAGAAGCCAAACCGTGTGCGTCTGCGTCAGCCGGTCCAAGACGCTCATCCTGCGCCGGAGGGAATCGTACCCAGAATCCCTTTCACCTGCAGCGGTGCCGCGGTGGCCGGGCTCCAGGCGAAGCGCACTCATGTCTCTGTCCGGACTGAAAATCAGCGACAGAGGAGGCAAGAAGGAGAGACGCATATTTGATGAGTCTGTGTGAAGACGACCACACCTTTTTATCAAGTCCTGACCAACTCCAGAGCATTCCAGAGAAGCACAAGAGGGCAACTGGCACGAGTGTCAGAAAAAACAGAAGCAGCTGCCAAATTCAGGCATTATTATCTCAATTACCATCAAATATTGTGCTTTGTTTATGTTAAATGAAAGAAGGAAGGACAAAGTAGGGTTTTAAATGTGATGTTTTGTCTCTTCTGTTCAATTCAATGTATTTTTGTATAGCCCTAAAGCACAACAGCAGTCGACTCGGGGGACTTTACAAAGTTGTCGATTCACCAACAACAGGTCAGAGATTCAAACAGTTCACAGGTAATGCAATAATAACAAAGACATAGGAGCCATTGGTCCATAGAGAGCAGGACTAACATAAATATTACTAAATTCCCTTAAAATGTGTGAAATCCAGTGAAAAATAATGATACGGTCAATATTATATGTTTTGATCCTGTCAGAAACAAATTAACATCATAGTGAAAAGCAGCAGGAGAGCAGGTCATAAAGTTGTAAACATTATATATTATAAGGAAACATCTACCAAGCGATCATGAAAACATTTAGGTAAAAAGGAAAAATGCTTTGAGATAAAAACACTCCATTCTAGGGCTGCAACTATTTAGCAAAAGATCTAATTGTGATTCTGTGATCGCATTGTACGGTGCGGGACAAACCATTCCAGGATCATCAACATTTTGGTGAAATGGACAAAATAAACTGTCTAATTCTTATAAGATAAGATAAGATGTGCTTTATTTATCTCACATAGGAGAAATTTACATGTCACATTTGGCATGGATAGAAACACTCAGATTGTGCAAAAGGAGGAAATGTGCAAACATGTTACATGCAGGATATATATGTACAATAAAGTGACAAAAATTATGTACAACAAAAGTGACAAGTGTCAATTGGAAACAGTGTCAATAGTAGTGCAGGTTTTCACACAGTGATCATTTAAAGTGACTTATTGTACAGTCTGACAGCGGTGGGGATAAAGGCCCTGCGGTAGCGCTCCTTCCTACACTGAGGGTGCCTCAGTCTTCCACTGAAGGAGCTCCTCAGCTCCTCTACAGTCCTGTGCAGTGGGTGGGAGGTATTGTTCATGATGGAGGTGGCTTTGGCTTGCACCCTCCTGTCCCTCACCTCCTCCACAGAGTCCAGGGAGCAGCCCAGAGTGGAGCTGGCCCTCCTGACCAGCTTGTTCAGTCTGTTTCTGTCCCGCTCTGTGCTGCCCAGGGCCCAGCACACGGCAGCGTAGTAAATGGCAGAAGCTACCACAGAGTCATAAAAAGTCCTGAGCAGAGGCCTGCTCACTCCGAAGGACCTCAGCCTCCTCAGAAGGAAGAGGCGACTTTGGCCCTTCTTGTGCAGGGCGTTTGTATTATGGGACCAGTCCAGTTTATTGTTTATGTGAACACCCAGGTACTTGAAGCTGTCCACCAGATCAATGTCCTCCCCCTGGATGTTCAGCAGCGTGTGGGAAAGTGGTTTTCTCCTGAAGTCGATGATCATCTCCTTACTTACTGGTGTTCAAGCACAAGTGGTTGCACTCACACCAGTCGACAAAGTCCTTGATAACCGACCGATATTCCAGTTCCTTCCCCTCAGACACACCGCCCACGATGGCGGAGTCGTCGGAGAACTTCTGCAGGTGACAGCTGTGTGTGTCGTGTGTGAAGTCTGAGGTGTAGATGGTGAAGAGAAACGGTGCCCTCTGCATGCGTATTGGTTGGAATTACAAATTGATATCTTGATAATATGCAAAATATATGTATCTATTTTGACAAGAACATGTAGTTTGAGAACGCATACCCCGACAATCATCTAGAATTTTTATTGTGTTCCCTCAAATTACTGTACATCCCATCTACCCACAACATTTCAGCTCAAGTTGTGCAGTAGTTTGTGTGAATACCTACCTACACACACACACACACACACACATACAGACACACACACAGACACACACACACACACACTTGGCTGGATTAGGGAGGGTGAGTAGATTCATTTTCATTTCATATTTTTGCCCAAGTTCTTTCTATTTTAACGTCTGTAACTCCCCCTGCTGGTCAGAAAAACGTACTGCCATGGTTACGGAATACCTAAAATGCCTTTCTATGATCCCAATGATCACAACTCAAACTCAAAAGTTTCAGCCTCCAGATCTCACTAAGCTACACTGTCACACAAGCCCTGGTCTCTAATTTAAATACTGACAATAAAGCCAACTTGCGTGTCTTTTATAAATAAAGACTGCTGATTGTGGTTCCTCTTTTAAACAGCTAAGAAGCAATCCCTCGAGCAAGACGGACGCAATGAAACTAACAAAACACAAGGGCACATCATTCACATAAAAACATGTCGAAACATTGAACTTTCACAACACACAATCCGGTTGACTTTTGCTAGTGGAGTAGAGGAGAGTCTTTCATAATATGTTTGTTATCCGGACAGCTTTTCTCAAACTTAAACTGACTCTATCTCTCCCTAATATGGTCCTCATGTCTAAAAAACAGTTGATTTCAAGCTAAAATACCACGTGTAGCTACTCACCCGGTGTTGTCCAGCGTCTCTTGGTCTGATTCCGGGCTTTTCTGCACCATTTCCTTCTCGAGTTCCCCGAGCTCCAGGGCAAAAGTATCAATCAGCTGCCGACACAAGAACGAAAAAATTAACTTCAGAACAAACAGAACGAGACGGGAGAGAGAACCCAAGCAGTGCACGGTGATCGACACCAGCAACATGGTTTCAGGATTCAGCTAAAGAACAGGCAGTAAAATGACATAGTTAGTCATGTCTTTGTCGCTTCGTCACCGGAATCACTTCCTTTAATTGGAAAAAGAAAGAAAAAGACATTCATGAATCATATTTACTTATTAACGTGCTACTATTTTGGTTGTAGGAAGAGAACTTAGTATTTGAATAATTGGTCACATGCCCTGATGAGGACCAGCGCATTGGTTGGACCACAATATATTTTCAGGGTCTCCCCAGATTTAGTCAAGGCAAATATCAATGTGGGAGAGCGGTCAAGTCTTGTGTATGATATTTGTACTGTACTACTTTTCTTCTTAAAGGTGATGTCTGCTACTTAAATTGTATTTCATTTTTTATTTATTTATTTTTCAACAATAATATAATTAAAATAGTATTCTTTGTTGGCATAACTTCAACCAGTTAGATTTACCAGAAGAGGATTTTAACCAATGGCCTGGAGCCTCAAGAATTAGAAATAATTTGGACCAATCAGGAAGTTGCAGGGGTGAGCATGGGCGGGTCTAATCAAAGTTTGTAATCAAAACGTTTTTTTCTTCAGAAATTGTTGAGTGACTGACATTCTTTAAGGCCATCATTCAGACAAACAGTAAAGCAGTCTATATGCTAGTTTCCTTCACCCATTCCTCATATTTTTGGTATCCAGACTTATATATTTTCTTGATGTATAAAAGGTGCAAATCCAAATGGAATCATGCATGCAAATGTATTTTTACAGCATGAAAAGTATTAGGCAGAATTGAGGCTTTGTTTTGGTCAAATTTACATGTAAAAAAATCTATATTCATGATCCCACATGACTCGCTAATCGAATAACCGTGAGACAGATTGATTATTACATTGTCAGTGTGAAATGTTGGTTTATTTGTGATAGCCAATGCTCTCAGGATAAAAACAAATTGTATCAACAGAAAAGCAAATCAGATTAAACATTCCATCCAAACAATGTAAATAGAAAACAGACAACACTGGGTCTAACGGGTTTCATTTGTTGAGGTTTTTCTGCATTATCCAAATTCCTTAATTCCAGACTTTACTTAACTCCAGATGTTAAAATGGTGGATCACTGCTCTGTAGAGAACAACACACATGCAAAAGACTGTCCCTATACATTATATAATACTTTAAAAAACAACAGATGCCAAGCCTTAAGTGAGAAAAATACATTATACACTATATATTAATACATGATTTTTAAGTAGTGCATTTACAGGCTGTTGTTACACATGTTGGCCACTAGGAGGACCTCTACTCTTCTGAATGGACCCAATATAAAGTCTATCTATGCTACAAAACAAAAACTTAAGCTTTTTCTCAGGCTCTAGCTGTGGAACTCTGGCCCTGGGGAAAGAGAGATCTGGAGAAACCGATGGATAAACTCCAGAAGGAAAAATGACTGGTAAAAGTATGTGAATAAGTTTGTAATTGGTTTGTTTTGTCATCATTTTATTTCATGTCTAAATGTTATGGTTGGTTTTTGATGCGGACGTTGTGATTATTTGTGTTTACATAATTATTAACATCTGGCCTGGCACTACTCATGGGGGACCAGTCAAGGCACATTTAGGCACAGTTACTTTAATGTAACTTCATCAATTCTATATCCGTGGGTTATTAAACATATATAAATACCATTGTAAACTTGAATTAGAAAAAGTAAAATAATGGCTAAATCATTAAGAAACCGAAGATTGTGGACATTATGTAAAAGTTTGAAAGGTGCGTCTTCAAAAGGCGTAGAATGGCCTCGACTCCCAGGTTTAATTTAGTCCTAAACAAAGCATGTGTTGTTATTCGTGAAGAGAAAAAGTGAGGTTTTAGTTGAAAACGAGCCCAGAGGAGGAGACAGAGGAGGCTCTTATAGATACAGAGAAGGTCACTGAACACAGGGCAGTTTGGCTCAGAGCAAAGAACCATGAGCAGCATTCCTGTGAACTTGTGACTGAGAAAAAGGCTTTTACTCTGAAATTTTATTAGCTCTTTGTTGATAACACATATGTTGAATCAAGAACTATAATGACGAATATGGGAGAATTTACATTACAGTTATATTTTGTGTATTTGTCTGGTGCACACTGGGGACTTTTGCAAAACATTTCCGATGTTGTTTTACTGTAAATTACAAATAATATGAAACTGAGTGGGGTTGGACCCGTGTTTGTGTAAGTTTCCTCCAGGTGCTCCGGTTTCTCCTACCACAAAAAATATGTACAATAGTCCGGCAAAACATCCTCCCCCACTCCCACGCACCTGTCTGGGGCCAGGACTCCACAAAAACAAGATTGTGTGAGGAACTAACGAACTCTGAGGAACTAGCACGGTTACAAAAGGTCAATAAACTAAAATAATACAAATATAATGTGTTATTCAGAACTTTGAGTTGAGGAAACTATGTGTTTGGGTTTAGCACAGCGGCTTAAACAAAGTGCTTTCACAGTCTCGGGACGGATGGAAAAAAAACGCAGCTCTCATTATGGGTCTAAAACCAGACACCTGCGACTACATGGAGGAACTCAAAACACAAATATATACACAGAGCAGAGCAACAAAGCATTCAGCTCATTATTAACGCTGGGATTGGGGGTTACAAACTCAACATATACTAGGGTAATTTAAAGTGACATTTGCGCTTTAGAGGGTTTCCAACTTCTCATACTAATTGGCATTGGAGTACCATATAAACTCCCAGCCTTTCTGGATCTAAAATTTAAGATTAAAAACAGAACTGCACTAGGTTTGCAGTATTTCTCAACACAGCTCAACCTACATAAGGATACAAGGATAAGCGGAAACATGGAAACTCCAAACAGTTTGTATGGTCCAGTATGGAGGGATTGAACCCACAACCTTCTTGCTGTGAGGCACGAGTATTCAGAAATCAAAATCATAATTATAGTGGCCTATCTTATAGAAAGGTTATCTCTGTGTTTAGACTTCTATAACAGATGTAGAAATGCAAGGGTCACTCTAAACGGTAAATGGTCATGTTTATTTAGCTCTTTTCGAACTTTTCAAAACTGTTCAAAATAGTTTGGCAAATTTGAGGTGTTATAACCTTGATAAATTGTGTGGTCGTACCTTAAAGAAACTGCCGCTGCGGTCCGTCAGTCCACTGGGGGGGTCTTGAGGTTCTTGTGGGTCTAGTGGGTCTTGTAGGTCCTTGGGGTCATGTTGGTTCTTGGGGTCTTGTAGGTCCTTGGGGTCTTGTAGGTCCTTGGGCTCAAGTTGGTTCTTGGGGTCTTGTAGGTCCTTGGGGTCTTGTAGGTCCATGGGGTCTTGTTGGTCCTTGGAGTCTTGTTGGTCCTTGGGGTCTTGTTGGTCCTTGGGGTCTTGTTGATCCTTGGGGTCTCGTTGGTCCTTGGGGTCTTGTAGGTCCTTGGGGTCATGTTGGTTCTTGGGGTCTTGTAGGTCCTTCGGGTCTTGTTGGTCCTTGGGGTCTTGTAGGTCCATGGGGTCTTGTTGGTCCTTGGAGTCTTGTTGGTCCTTGGGGTCTTGCTGGTCCATGGGGTCTTGTTGGTCCTTGGGGTCTTGTTGATCCTTGGGGTCTTGTTGGTCCTTGGGGTCTTGTTGGTCCTTGGGGTCTTGTTGGTCCTTGGGGTCTTGTAGGTCATTGGAGTCTTGTTGGTCCTTGGGGTCTTGCTGGTCCATGGGGTCTTGTTGGTCCTTGGGGTCTTGTTGATCCTTGGGGTCTTGTTGGTCCTTGGGGTCTTGTTGGTCCTTGGGGTCTTGTAGGTCCTTGGGGTCTTGCTTGATGCGAGTGTCTTGGGGGGTTTCGTGGTCTAGTGTATCTTGAGAGTCTTGGGGGTCTTTGGACTCTTGTTGGTGTTCAGGGTCTTGGGGTTCTTTGGAGTCTTTTTGGTCTTGGGGGTTTTCCTGGTCTACTGGATCTTTGGGGTCTTGTTGGTCGTTGGGGTCTTGTTGGTCTTGCCGGACTTGAGGTTCTTGAAGATTCTCGTAGTCTAGCACATCTTGGGTGTCTTGTTGTACTTGTCGATCTTTGGGGTCTTGGAGTTCTTTAGGGCCTTCTCGGTCTTGTCGGACTTGGGGGTCTGGGATGTCAGCCATGTTGTTCTACTCCACCTCTCTCTGCTCAGCCTGGATCAGCGTCTGCGGCACAGAGACTTGGGTCAAACACAGTCCAGACTTGAGGAAATGCCTGCTCTGTCCACAGCTGTGCACACCTCTGACTTTACCATCATTCTCTCACATTTCAACCTTCAAGTCATTCCAAAACATTCACTTTTTGAACCAAAATTGGGTCAAATTCAAAGACATTTCCCCCCAGCATGTTGCCCTCTTTATAACAATAATTCTTTTTCCATGTTGTAAGACTTTCTCAGCCTCATACTTGCACACAGATGTACCAAGACATGTGTGTGTGTGTGTGTGTGTGTGTGTGTGTGTGTGTGTGTATGTGTGTGTGTGTCATATTGCTGACATATGTTTTGTTGTAGGGTATTGATAATATGTTTTTGTTGTTGTATGGTATTGTAGTATGTGTTTGAATGGAGCGGAGGGTATTGGATTAAAATACGCCGTTTGCTTCGACCAATCCCTTTTAAAACCCTTTTCTGTTAATAATTGTTTGTATATCTCGTTCATGTTTGAAATAAATGTACTTTTGTAGGAGTAAAACTTCTCGTGGCACATTTGAGACAAGTTGACTATTAGATTTTTCATAGTTTAATCAGCATTTGGCAATACTTACCGGACGCCAAAATTCTTTTATAGCACAGACAGCTGCAAACTATATTAGCGGGACTGCAAATACTTTCTCCAACACGAATGCTACAACCACTTATTTTGTCAACATTCCATCAGTTAAAACATATGTACAAAACATCTTAGACAACAATAATAATCATCCAACTAGTAAAAGTAATCGGTGCAGCGTATTTCTGGAAACAATTCATTACAGTCCGTCAAGAATAGTTTTTTGTGAAGGCAGTAGAGGATGACTGAAGCTAACATATCAAATTGTGTTATTTTATTGAGTGATGTTGATGTCATGACACTGGCAAATAATAGCTATAGATATAGTCATCATCAATTGTTTATATTTTTTTAAATATTTATTCTTATTTAATGTATTGTTTTATTTTCCTGTGTCTTAATTTAATTTATTTTTTGTTTTATCATAGTGGGGGGAAAAGGAAAAAATTTGTCTTGTTATGCTGTATGCATTATGGGGAAAAAGTGTGAACTATTAAAATGATACAATAAAGTAATTTTAAAAAAAAGTTTTGAGTAAAAGGAAGTGAGTAGCAGTACAATTTATGATCATTCACCCAGGGCTGTGAACAAAGGGGAACCAAGCTGTAGAGTTTGTTTTAGGGGACCATAAATGCAACTATCTTCCTATTATGTAGCACCTACGTAACAGTGTTGTGTCCAAGGCCATGCAAATCGTCAAGAACCTGCATTCAACATCTTGTAATTTCTCGAATTTATCATCGTGAACCGAAACTTAACCTGTCAACGATTTCCCTTCAATTACAGCCTCAGCAATTCCAACATTGCTCTGGTCCCACTATCTTTGGTTTTGTGGGAGACATTATTCTGTCGCCCCTCCCTTCGCTCTCTCCCACACACCACCCAGAGTCCAGACTGAAAACATTACAGTAGCCCTGGGTCTGTGGTTTTGGTCCTGGGGGTCAATCATGAGCTCATCCACACACACACCCACATCCACGCACACACACACACACACACACACACACACACACACACACACACACACACACTTTTATCTTATAGGAAGGAAGTGAGGTTGCTTTGTCTACACAGTACGGAAGCATCTGTGAACTAAAACAGAGATAATTTGGGCAAAATTTAGTGTAATTAATCAAACATGGCTGTTCTCTCATTTCCTGTTGTCCGTTATGAGGCTCCTAAGTCAGCATCATACATTATCAATACAAAGAAATACAATAATTAATGCAAAGAACCTTATACCTCAGCAGAGGGATGAAAATATGTCATTCCTTTTTTGTATTTAAGAAAAAATTGTCACAGTCTATCCTGGAGGGATACAGAACTGAATGATTTTGTTGCGTGATACTTAAAGGTATATATGAGGATTTTCTACTTCTGGGTGGATCATCAAGACTATAAGTGCTACCAATTGTCATCATTCAGGTGATTCGAGCTCGTCAAATAAGACCAGAGAGTTTTGTTCAAAAAGTGGAGAGTGCGTTTCTTTCCTAAAATTTTGGAAAATCCTCCAATTTAATTTTATGTTTACTTTTATGTTTACTTATATGTTACGGTAACTTGTATTGTATATGAATATGTAATGGCCGCACAGGTTTTTTGCTTCTGCCCTAATAATAAAAAATAAACTGAACTGAAATAAATGAACTGAACTGAACTTATATTGACCTGAAAAGGTTCAAGCAAAGTAAAAAAAAAGTGCTTTTCTGGTAAAGGTTTGGAAATGGAGACTGATGACTGCAGATTTCACTGACCTGAGCTATTCATAGGGTGAAGTTGGGCAAGTCTGTGGTGTCTAGACAAGTGGTTTCAATTCCACAAATACCAAGAAGCCGACCTCTGGAGTAGAAATGAAAACCTAAGATCAAAAGGAGTGCAAAGGATACATTTTCTGAGGATAATATTTAACATTTAAGAAAATATTCTCAAATATTGCTGCCTGTATCAATATATTGTCCATTAGAAACACGGTCAAATGGTTGCATACAGTACGGCTCTTTGTTGTCACATGTGTGCGATGCAACAATAAACAAGCCTAGTATTTTTTCCCTGTGTTTCCCTGTTTTAGTGAAACGGGTTATAACAACAGAGACATCCACTCTGCAGCTGCACAGAGCCACAGCTGATAACACGCCTCCACACTCCAGCATCACAGGCAACACCAGCGGAGATAGTTCACTGTCAAAATACATGAGCAAAAATGTGTTTTAGGGCCTGTTCTACGAGGCATTCGTGGGTTTCAAAATGATGAGATTTGGAGGCTATGTGATGTTTTTTTTTAAATAATAAATGTTGTGAATATCCTCCTTGAACATGTTTTGTTTTGTTACGTTATTTGTTCTCTTGTTGCCCGTGTGTGGGTACAGTGCCTTCTGTATGGTGCAAAATGTTATAATCTTGTAAGGCTCAATATAAGGTATTCTGATCTAATCTAATCGAACCCTGTTAAAAAGTGAATCAGTAAGTTAAGAAAGGCCCATTGGTCAAAATCTTTAAAATACACAACATATTTGTAAAGAAGTGTTTGGAAAGGACATTACAAATACATAAGAAGTACAAATATGAGACAACATGGAACTATTTAGATGAGGAAATAGTTTTAGTTTTAAATTGCAGACTATAGATCCAGGACTCAGGCTGTAGTCCTCGTTCTACAGCCTAAGTCCTGGATCTAGAGCTTGTGCGTCCATGGGAGCGTATATGGGCCTCAATATTCCTTCCCAATGCAGGAGAGTCTAAGGTCAGTGATGATCCGGGACATTTAAGGACATTTGTTGGACGTTGGTCATTCCCCACTCTCTATGAACGGCTTCTATGAGTTATTGTTTGATTGTCTGATCTGCGGTAGGTGAACCGACAACTTTGCAATTGCCTTCGAGACTGTTGTTTTGATTTAAGGCTATACAAGAATACAAAGTGGGGATTTTCCTTCTATTTCTCCATTTTTAGAAAGTCTTCATAAACATTGTTTCACTTCCTTTCCCATTTTACCCAATGCCTCTCATCCGCATCTCCTCTGACCCAGAAACGAAACCAATTACTGCTTTATCAGCACATTTGGAAATTCCTACGCCAGTTTCTGTTGATCTAAAGCAGACAACTTGACCTAATGTGATAGAACTTAGACTGAAGGAGTATGAGCATGAAAGTAGATTTATGAACACTGACCCTTTTCTGCTCTTGCAAGGCCATTCCAAAGATTTATACCTTCAAGACGACAGACTATAATTTTTTGTTTTTGCAGGTTACTATTATGAGAATGGTAGAGCAGTGATTTGAGGTCAAGGTCTTGGTCAATGTAGTGTTTGAATGACAAGACATTTTTTAACATTTTGCGGAAAACTAGGAGCAGCTGCATTCCTCAAAGTGCAAAGACCTTATCTACATGGTTCAGACGGTTCATATTAACGCCCCAAAAACTAATGGTCTAAAACAGGGGTGTCCAAAACGTTTAGTATGAGGGCTACTTTAGTTTACCAGGGGGCCACACAGATAGTAAAGGTTTCGGTTAGTCCATATAGATTCACATTTGACATCAGTTTACTTGTTTTTTCTATCCCAGCACAGCTACATCAACGCCATTTATGGGATTTTGGGACAGGGTCAAATACGTTTATACAAATCAAGTTAACAACAGGATTCCAGAGGTTATTAGCTTCACAATGAGATAAAACATGTATATATTGGTGGAGCTGAAGTTGGCTGGATGTCAACTCAATCCCTATGTGTTAGCAAGGCAAAGGACCCATGACATGACAGATAGGGCCGCTTATTGGTCCTCGGGCCGTAGTTTGGACATGTCAGACCTATGTATGTTTGCTGTTTTTAACTTTGTATTTCAACTGTGTTTAAATGTACTTTTTACTTGTTATGTAAGGCGACCTTCAGTATCTAGAAATGCAGCTAAGAAATAAAAAGTAGTGTTATCATCATCATCATCATCATCATCATTACTATATTAAAAGAGCATCACATTTATAAAGGAGGTAAAATTGAAGCTTGAAAGACGAAGCAACTGTCCTATCACTAACTACCCCAACCCCATCCAGAGGTTCTCAATTTGCGGTAGAAGTAATTAGAGGCAAAGGAACATGGAAATAATCAGCTGTCACCTTTACACAGTTTAAAACTATGTGCAGCTCCATGTGGTATGTGTAAGTATGTCGTTTTTTCCACTGTGTCTGTTCGGCAGCTGCAGTCAGAAGAGAAGGGAGCGGTTACAACACCTCAAGAAGCTGAGTCAGGAGAAAAAGTTTTAAGATCTGAAACTTTCTATACATTAGTATCAACAGATGTGTTTTAAAAAGAGAAACCAAAGGTGCTTTAAGATTATAAGTATGAGATCCTTTATT